TTTGGGCATGCTCAGAACCAAATGCATCATGAGAACTTTACCAGAAAAAGCTTAACTCTCCAAGCTTCATGTTTTTATGGGATTTTCCAGGAGTTTTCTGGATTGCAATTTTGGACTTAGTAATTTATAGAATTTAATGTACTTTCACATGCCACGCTGCTATAGCTGCTACAGTGCCCCAGCTGTTATCAAAACCTTCTGCCCAATGTTACTATCCTGAGATTAGGTTCACATAACGTCAGCATCTGCCTTGCTGCTTTGGAGAACAGCCAGGTGATGGTAAAACTCCAGCCACAGTAGGTATAAGTTAGCATGCTGGACCATTACACTGGGGCACTTGTATCTCCTACTCCACTTGGATGTGAGGGCAGTCATCTCATGAAGGAATGCAACCGTTTTCTTCTTGCAGTCACAGCTAGGCTCTTCAGATTAGAGCTGCCAACAACACTTTTCTGTACCTGGACTACTGAATAACAAATTAATTAAATTTTTCCTTATTTCTTTGGTTTATTTTAATAATTATCACAGTTTTAGATGCAAAGATGTCCACACAAACTCAGCTAAGTGCTTTTAGCAACTGGCGTTAAAAAATTTCACCACTATTGGAAAAGTCAGGAGGTACCAGGCTGCCAACTTTTTTAATGTGATCAATATCTCTTGCTGCCATTACAAACTTCAGTATTTAACAAAACAAAATGCCAACAATACATTTATCTTGATCAACCCAGAGACTAGAATGATACCTCAGTGCATATGCTGCCAGTATCTCTTTGCCTCAATAACATTCGAAGCGCAAGACAAACTTTGCAAGCTTAAGAAAAATAAATTGTTTACTTACAAGGCTGTTTTTCGACGGCATCAATGACATTTTCAATTACGTCATCAAGTTCTACTTCACTGATGGACTGAAGAGCTTCAGTAAGGTACTTTAGAGCATCCCTAATTCCAGTGAAGGAAGTCAGCTCAAAACGCAATTAATATTCAACACCGTTTATATAAACTATGCCAATTTTGGCAGATGTGCACATAATCACTAAACAGCTTATGACAAAAAAAGTAGAAATAATCAGTACTGTGAAACACTGCACTAGTTAACAAAGACAAAACTCACCAGGATTGAAAACGCTGAGGATAAGCAGATACAGAGAACCTCATTTTCATAGATTCATAGAAAGATTCATGGCAGAAGGGACTGCTAAGGTCCAGCTTTCTGGTCTAACAGCACAGGCTGGTCATGTTGCTCACAGCACTGTCCAGTCAAACTCTGACCATCTCCAAGAATGGAGCTTTCACCCCTCTCTTGGCCCTGCCCTGGGCTTCACGACTCTCTTTGTGAATTATTTAGTCGTAGGACTGTAGAAGAGCCCACACTGGAAAGGACCTCTGGACCATCTGATCCAACTTTCTACTGCAATCCAGGACCCCCACTGAGCCAAGTCTTGAGTATTTCCAGTGAGGGAGATTCCACTTCTCTAGTCTACATACGCCAAAGTTTATTTGTTCTTACAGTGAATATTTTATTTTAACATTGTGCCCATCGCCTCTTGCCCTGCCACTGTGTATCCTTGAGAAGAAAGTACCTGCGTATTCTCTATAGCCACCTTTTAGGAAGACTAGGATTAACCAGATCATAGACAAAATCATAGAACAGGCTGGGTTAGAAAGGACCTTAAAGATCATATAGTTTCACCCCCCTGCCACGGGAAGGGACCCACTCACACTAGACCGAATTGCTCAAAGCCCCGTCCAACCTGGCCCACATCACAACGCGAGACGCCGGGGCGCGCCCCGAAAGCAGGCGCTGGGCTTGAGGAAGCCGTGAAAAGACCCTGCCCGAGCAGAGCAGGTCCCGGCGAGACGCTGGGTCGCGCCGCGCCCCCCGCCCCAATCCCGGCGCTACTCACGCTCGCAGAAGGAGCCCGCGCAGCCGAAACGCGGAGCTCAGACGGCGCCGCAGCCGCTCCGGCTCCATGGCGAACGGTTGGCGCCAAAAGGCGGCTCCGCCCCCACCACCCTGGGCCTGGGCCTGCCCCGCGGCGGGTGGGGGCTCCAGGGCCGCCCCGCGAGGACAGCTTCCAGCTCTGGGCCTTCAGCGTAAGGACCCGGACTTGTAGAAGCAAGTCCAGAGGAGGCCACGTAGATGCTCAGAGGGCTAGAGCACCTCTGCTATGGAGGCAGGCTGAGTGAGCTGGGCTTATTCAGCCTGGAGAAGGTTTGATTTCAGGTATTTGTTACAAGTTCTTCCCTGTGAGGGTGATGAGGCACTGGCACAGGTTGGCCAGAGAAGCTCTGGCTGCCCCATCCCTGGCAGTGTTCAAGGCCAGGTTGGACAGGGCTTGGAACAACCTGGTCTAGTCGAAGGTGTCCCTGCCTGTGGCAAGGGGTTGGAACTAAAAGGTTTTTAAGGCTCCTTCCAACCCAAAACACTCTATGATACTTACAACTCCTTTCCCTGTAGGCTCTGGTGTAGGTTGCATTGTATCTCCAGTAGCCCAGTCTCTCTCCAGCTTCGGTTTTACCTGCCATAAAACATCCATTATATTACAACTGGCTGTGAATAGGTCTTGCTTGTACCCCTCCGCCTAAGCCTTGTTTTCACCTGTCGATGCCTTCATTGTTAGATGGCATGGGATATTTCTCCCCCATTCTTCCTTTCTTCTCATGAGGTTCACAAGCCCTGGATGGGGGCTGTTACAACCTGCTGTTGGTTGATTGCTTGCTTGTACAATTCCATTTGTAATTCTGCCTTGCCTTTGACTACTGCTCTGTAGGGCTCTTTCTGAGTGAGAAGGGTGAGCTCTTAGGCTCTTAACACACCAACAGTAATTGTCCCACCTGGGTGCTAAGCTTCCTAGGATGTTTTTCAGTTGATCAAGAATTAAGTTTAAGGTGAACTTTCAGTTCTTCAGTTTATCACTACTCATTGTGTCAGCACTGTCCAATGGAGACCCCTTCCAGTAGGTATAGAGCACAATAAATAACCCTGTGACCCACACAGTTCCTCTCTTGTGGAGCAGCTGCTTTCTCTCCAGACAAAAAATTCAAGGTATTTAATTCAAACACTCTAAGCCTTGTCTCTCAAAATACAGCTTCATTCCACAGAAGGCCCGCACAACAACTCTGAAACTTCCTCAATCAAAAGACTGCATGGATATAAAGATGGATAAAAAAATGTCAGACTATTTTCTATAGTCCATTTGTGACTACATAATTTATAATCACTCCTCATCTGGGAGCAAACTCATGGGTGAAGCTGTATCTACTCTCTTTAGACAAAAAGCTACCATCTGACAAGTCTCAGCAATTTTGGCAAGGAAATATGATCCATTTTTCTTCTCAGGCATGCAGCTAGGTGCAAATTAGGAACCCCCACCTTACGTAAGTTCTTATATTTGCTAAGATTACCACTTTTTTCTTTCAAGAAAATCTGATTTTGACATTTAACTCATGTCTCACCTGGAGAAGGAATGCACCTCATCTAAAAAGCAACCAGGAACATAAAGCATACTCCTACCGCATCCTGCTGTATTTGGGGTTCTGCTAGGTTGCCTGGAGCCTCCCACCAGAGATATAAAAGCATTCCTGCATGAGCTGTAGACTTCTGTTCCACTGGGCCATCTGTCTGGAGCTCTGGAAGCTGTGCCCAGCTCTTCATCTCTGACGCTGGACATCACAGCACTACAGTCATAGCACATGTGGCTTGAGAGCAGAAAGCCAGCCCGGACAGCCTCATGGTTTACAATCAGACAGCATATCTTCCTCATGCCAAAGGTGTATCAATAAAATTGTTTTGTTACATGAAGCACAAAAAATATCTTTTTCATGGCCAACACTGCTTTACTGGCAAAAACATGGGCTGCTGACTTTGCACATCTAAGCTGCTTTCCAAGACATCACATTGTAGTTCTACCTGACCTGTAGATTTACAGATTGACTGTTAGCCACATTTTTCTTAACTATTCCATATGCTTATTCTGGTGTTTTAACCATCATCCCAATGCATCATCATTACATTTCTTCATTCAAATATGACAGGAATAATCAATGTCTTCCCTCCTAGATCCAACAGAGGAAGTGTTATGTCCCACTTTCACAAGAAAATCTTTACAGTTACTTTTCAGTGTCCTTTTACAAGATGCTAAAGTGCTCATTTCTCACATGCTCTACTGCTCTGAAGAGCAGTACCTGATTTTATTTTCATTCATTCCAGCTAGTTCCAGTTCAGCTGGAACTCACTGGGTTGTTGATCTAACAACATAAGAGCTGGAATGGCAGTGTAAGCGGCTTTTGCTTTTCCCAGCCTGCTGTTTAAGAGCAGGCTAATCTATAGGGAAGACTATATAGTTGTGGGAATAACAGGGAGCAGAGATCCCTCAAATAATGGAAAACGCGTGTCTTGTGACATGATGGGAAATGACTCATGGAGATCCCAACATCAGCTTTATCCTGTCAGTTACCTCTACCTCAGCACTGGCCCCAGTACATAGGTACTGCACAGCACCTTTGGTATGCTCAAGTATTCCACCATGCCACAGTATGTAGCTTCTTGCTTAGTCTGCTTCCAGGCTGCAGGTTAGAGGACAGCCCTCACAGCATCAACTCTCTAGGGTGAACAGTTTGAACTCCTATACAGCTGTAATTAACAACAGCTGCTATTTTATTGTTGCTGTTTCTGGCAGGAGCATAACTTGCCTCACCTTTGGTGTTTTGCTGTGGCCGTCTTGAACTACCGCCCATGATGAGATCCAACACTTCTTTCCATTCTTGCATTGGATTTGTGTTTAGGGATTGTATTATTGGTGCTCATTCCCTCCTCTCATAATTTGTTCACAGGCTTCTGCATGGTTTATTAAGCCTTCACGCAGTCTTCCTGCACGCCTCACTGGGCAGATGGCGGCAGCCTGTACCCACACTGCCAGGGCCTCTTCCAGGAGCTGTGCAAGGGCAAACCTAGTGAAGTACATCCACACATCTGCGTTTGCAGCCTGCCCCGGCTGCAGCGCCAAGGGAGCAGGGGGCAGAGGGAAGGCCACGGCCCGCGCGCACAGCTGGGAGGCACGGCGCGCGCCTCCAGCCCCCGCCTGGCAGCTCCGCAGGCGGCGGCGGTGGGACTGAGGGGAAGCCGCCATAACCCCTGCGCCGAGGGGAGGGTGACGCCCCACACTTTGAACCCTCCTAGCTTCCCGTCCGCCTGAGGGAAGCAACCGGCGGAGAAACGCAGCCTCTCCCCGAGGAGGCGGTGGTGGGACGCGAACGCGAGCTGCTGCTGCTTCTTCTTCCTCCTTCTCCTAAGATGGCGGCGGACTCCGCGGAACTGTTCCGCGTGGCCGAGGAGCGGAGCGGCCACTGCGCCGTGGTGGACGGGAACTTTCTCTATGTGTGGGGGGGATACGTGGTAAGGCGGAAGGCGGCGGTCGGAGGGCGCTGAGGGCGAGGACGAGTGGCGGAGGGAAGTTGAGAGGGGCGAAGCGAGAAGCCGCACGGGGGGAGCTGGCCGGAGGAGACCGGGTAGGGAAGCGGAACGGAGAGAGCACCTCAGCACCACGCTGCCTTGCCCCAAGTCGCCCCTTTAGCCGCTGTAACCCCTCGGCGAGCTAGGAGCGGAGCACTGTTTACCTCAGCGCGGGCGCTGATTAGTTGTAGGGGCAGCGCGCCCCGCAGGGGCGGGCGTTTTAAATGGTGGCTGGGGGGCTTGAGGCGCCAGTGGTTGCTCTGAGGAGAGGGGTGCGAGGGAAGGGGGGGTTCCTCTGTGTGCTCCACCCCACCATTTTCTTGTTCCCTTTTTTTAAGTCCTCATAGCTGTCTCCTCCGTTTTCAACTGCCTCCGTCATGGAGCATGTGTTGGGGAATGGCTGGCGGAGCCGGTTTGTTTTCGCATTTCTCACAAACGTGCGGTTCCTTTGTACTCTGGGAACGCTTCTCTCATCTTCCTTCCTCTTTGGGGTGACGGTTATAATTTGCGGCTTTTTTCCCAATGTGTAATTCCTGTTCTTGTTCCGGAACCCCTGCATTTTTTACTTATTAGTAGTTGTATGTTACGTACAGTGTGCTTTCCTCCTTCGGAAAGCAGTTCTGTCACTTCAAAAATAAGCCTGTGGCAGACTAAGAATACGTTGGGTTTTGTTTTTTTTTCCATTGAAAGATCAGTTCTAGTTTTGGCATGAGTAAATCCTTGTAAATCTTACCTCTGGATGAATTCAGACCAAAAGAGAGCTGTGAGTGATACTACATTAACCACAGGCAGTTCGTTTTACCCAGTGTCTGTGCACATTGGCGCTAAAATGTGAAAGTACTTTGCTTAGTACTACTTGTTTTGGTCAGCATAATGTGTTTCTATTAACATGTTCTGTATTCTTCTATCTGTATTTTTCATGGGTTAAGGTAAACTTTCCTATGCAAAGTTTGTCCTTTCGTACTCAAGCAAATAATTCTGTTTGGGGACTCCTGGATTTAGATTTGAAAATACATTATGTGTTATGAGTGTGTGTCGTAACAAAGGGAAGGTTGTTTCTAGGGCTTTCAGGTATTAGTTGTCATTTCCTGAAGCACGTTATAATTTGCTTCCTGGAAGCTGGAATTTTGTTGTTGGTTTGGTTTTGTTTTGTGGGTTGTTTTTTATTTGGTTTTGGTTTGTTGTGTTGGTTTTTGTTTTGTTTGGGGGGTGGTGGTTTGTTTATTTTGTTTGGTTTTTGTGAATTTATATCCATTTATATATATAACTAAAAAAGTTAGACTTCAAAGGTGGGGGAGAGGTGGGCTGCTCATGGAATTTGAGTTGCTCTGGTCCTAAGTTCTATGCATTTGACCTTTAAAGGGTTGTGCTGACAGTGACTACTGAAATACTGAAAATACAAGCAGACACTGAATATGGAAATATAAGCCCTCAGCGGTGGGAGGAAGCAGGACAGTAGGGGTTTGCAGGCTGGGTTACCCTGGCATGCTTTCTTCTGCCTACTGGATGGCCAGGCTTGCCCAATACCAAACTAATAAAATTAAGGAACCTTCAGGAGCCTGTAAACTGTTCTCACAGCTTTTCTTCGTTTGGGGGTCTTTGGTAGGTAGTGTTTCTTGTGACTGCTAGTCATGTAAGAATTTGAATACATGTTTTGTAGGGTCAATAAGTTACCCACCTTTAGAGTAAGAATATATTTAAATAATGTGTGTCATTGTGATGTACAGGAAGATTCAGTGTCCTTTTCTGGCCTTAAACTCCATGCAGCCTAAATCACTGGTAATGCTATTTGCCTGTGCTTTGGTCTTTAGAAACTGCGGTTGGACTAGCTAGCATAGTGTTTTCAGTAGTTTCCTAATAAAGGATCCTGGACTCATGGCACAGTCAATGTGTGTTAAGTTTAGCAGATAAACTTTGCAAACGTTTTTAGTAGCTTCATGTATTATTTGTGGAGAGTATTACGAAAATCATGGTTACTCTTTAAGCTGCACTTTACACAAGTAAATGATTTTACATTTTACATGTTGATGGCGGCCTGCTGCCCAGCTAACTTATTTTTGGCATCAGTGTATTTGCTCAGGGCTGGTTCTGTAGCAAATGCTTGACCTCAGACCACTCATGTATCTAAAATTGCGTAAGCCTCTGCACTTTGTAAAAGCTGCAGGCTGCTTGCGACAGCAGAGCCTACCTTATGAAAGGTACCAAGCAGGATGGACTGTATTGAGCATAGTGTGTATGTACCTAGTTGGCACCTTTCAAATTGAGATGTTAATAATAAAAAATCATTTAAAGGCAAGTAATCAATATCGGTAACAAAACTGTTAATGATTAAATTTCATTTTTGTATTTAACTTACTTTCCTCAGTCATTTAATTTTGCTGTGAGCTTTTTTGGTTTGTTGTTGTTTTTTTTTTAATTTTTTTTATTTACTGACTCTGGCTTCTTATTGCCTCCCAGTCTTCCATTTCTTTCTAATGCTAAGACAATAATTAATGGTGTCATTGTTACTCAGCCTGAGTTCTGCTACTGCATTCTTCTGGGCTTCATTCTCCTGTTTATTATTCTTCCTCATCATTACTTTCCAAATTATTTTTCTTTCTTACATGACTTCTGCCTGGGAATCTTCATATATCTTTTTTCCACAGAGGAATTAATTTGCTCTTTAGTGTTATGACATAGGTTAAACTCTTTTGTATTTGTCATTTTGTTCTTTCAAGTTCCTTCCTTCAGTCTCTGCAAGTAACTGAAGGACGTGCCTTTCAGTTACACTTTCACTTTTCTCTATATATTTCCATTATGCCAAGAATTGCCTCCTAATTAAAAGTGTCTTGCTAAACAAAAAATAATGTGTTTTAATTTCAGAAGCTTTACATTTGGTCTGATTTATGTTGTTGCACATCTTTCTTGGCAAAACCTTAAGTTTGTAAATCTGTGTCTTTAATGAGTAGGCCTGAGGAATTCAGTTCCTTATTTCTAAAATGCATACTTTTTTTCTAACATTCTATTTAGTTGTTGGGTTCTTTACCCATTTGCAAACCAGAGCAAAGTCTTAGTTTCTGTAGAAGATAGAGGGGTTGTGGAATAACGAAAAAAAATCCATCATGTGAAGAACAGCATTAATACTTTGATGCTTGGCTTTGATGTTCTTGCATTTTGAGGTGTGAAGGCTAAGAGTACAGAAAAATTTGCTCAGAATGATCACATCAGTGACTGAAAAAATGCTTCATTTAGAAAACCAGCTTTTTAATAGAGTAGGGAAGTATCTTGGAAACTCTCAAGGTTTGGGGGGTTTGTTTTGTTTGGTTTTTTGTTTTTTGTTTTAAAATTTATAGTCATGTTATAATACTGTTGTGCTACTTTTTAGTAGCACTTGTATGCTTTATAATGACTTAATTGTTCACCTGTGCTTGTTTCTTATTTATACAAATTGGTTACTTGATTCCTATTGCTTTTTGAAATGCTTCTCTCACTGCCTCTGAAACACGAAATTTATATTTTTTATAATCTTTACACCATAAACTGAGTGAATAAAGATAGTATTAACAATCAGCAAAGCTCAGTGACACCAGGAAATGTCTAATAGAGTATTTTTATTAGCTTCAAAAGTGAAAAGCAACTTTTTTGAACTTCTAGCATGAAATTAAAGTATTAGCATTATTGAGCTGCCTGTTTAAAATTGTAATGATCTGAGCAATAATGCTGGGGTATGACTTATGCTCTGGTAGATTTTCTCCTTAAGATTATTCTGTGTCGCTAAGTAGCGTGATTTGGTATTTAATTTTAAAATGTATGGTGTATAATGTATAATATATTTAACATTTGCAATTTTTTTTCTGTTTTAGTCAATTGAAGAAAATGAAGTTTATTTGCCTAATGATGAGCTCTGGATCTATGAAATAGATAGTGGGTTATGGTGAGTTGAATCCTGTGTGTTTAAATAAAATACAAGGTTAATCTTTGCATAGATTACAATTAGCTGCAGTGAAGAGACCTCAGGTACGTGAGTTATTTTTCCTGTTCCCTGAATCTTAAACAGAAGATCTTTAATGTAAAGACTGAAGAACAGACATATGTACTTGTAAATGAACTCTAGGAAACACATTAATTTATTAAGTATAATTGTTTGGAGTTGTTTTTTCTTTTTTTTTTCAACAGAACATTTGAAATTGTGGGCTTAAGGCTCTGATGTTAAAACAGATACATTTTATTCAGGCATTTATTTTGGCTTAGTTCTCCATGCGTTAACCTTTATGGTAAAAGGAATATTTAAACACTGGCTATTTGGGTTCTCAATCTATTTGCAATTACATATTTTTTATTTCTTGTGTTCTGAGTGTATTTGCGTAAATAACTTACAACCTTGCACATCATGAGCCATTTATCCTCACATTTCATTTTATGTTTACTTTTTATTTATTTTATGTTTACATATCATATGTGGGGAGAGAGAACAATACCTCTTTTTAAAGTTTTCCAGTGTTTTCTGTTACAATAATTGCATTCAGTCTGGCAAAGTAGTATCCATCTGGGCTTAAACATGTTTTCTGCCAGCTGTATTTCTGGTCTCCCACTGTTTATGTATTTCTTGCATACCCATATTCAAAGCAACAATTTGGAGGAAAGCAGGGAGGACAGCTAGATCAGGAGGGTGTCTCACAGTATGTAGGAAGTTCCACATCTGTGTGGTGAAGTCACTGATTTCAAAAACAACCATTTGCACATGGTTAGCTGTGAAGTTCTAGCAAGTCTTTTTTAAGATTGTACCCTCACTGAGACTGCAGCTTGCTGCCTGTTTCTCTTGGTGAAAGGTTTGGCAAAAGCAACCTCATACTCTCTTGGTTTTCACCCATGGTGTGCTTGGACCCGTGGTACTGGTACACTTCTTTATGTGGTCACACAGGAAAAGTGATCTGAGTTAAATTTAACTTTTGTTATTCCAGGGTTATTTTTAACCGGGATCTGTTCTTGATCTTGTTCTGTTTGCAGCACAAACAGTTGTACACATACAGTTGAGTGCACAGTATGACATGGAAAGAAGCAGGAATGAGAGAGAGAGCGAGAGAGAGCAGAGAAGGGCAAGGACGGCCAGCCTGTGGCAGTGCTGGTGCCATAACAAAGGTGTTGGGAGCAGTGCCCTGAGCAGCTAGTGATCACTGTTTTCCGTAGGGACAGGTTATATGTGCATTGTTCACAGCTGGTGATTTAGTGCATAAGAAGCTTTTCCTTTTGATAGTTGCCTCCAGTTCTTTTAGGTTGGGGTGAGGTCAAGCATCAGAACTCAAAGTTGTAGGAATCCTTTTCTTCTGTTTAGGTACCAGTAATAGATAATGGAGGCATCTGATCTAGGCACAGATGTACTGGAAGGAGGGAGTGAATGGATTTGACTGAGTCAACAGATGTGGTGATAACAGAGCTGGCAGAGAGAAGGAGAAGTGGAATCAGGCTTTGAAGATGGGAGACAGTGACTGAAGAGGGAGACTGAGTCAAGGACCTGGGTGGAGGACACAAGAGTCATATCAGGTGGAGAGTTGAGAAAAATGTATAGGAATGGCAGGGAAAGGAAGCTTCAACCAAAACCCATGGCGCATAAGCTGGGGCAAGGAATTGGAGTGTCAGCACAGAGACTGGGATTTGGCTGCTGAATCTACAGAGTCGGAAGGTGTGGCGACAAAGTGGAAATCCGAAATAAATCACGTCTTCTGTGCATGTAGGTGTGAGATGGCAGCGCAGGTCCCTATCTTCTGTAGAAATTTGAGATCCTGGGAAAACTGTTTTCAGTGTGGAGTGATGTTTCTAAGCACAGTCTTGGCCTGATGCTCAGCCTCGTGAGTCCAGGAGAAATCGAGTTTAATCTGATAGTTGCGTAGTGCTTGAGATGTGTGATGTTACAATTTACATCATAGGAAGTTGCTGGTTTGTAACTTGAAACTAGCTAGGAAAAGGTTAGGAACTGCTGTTGCTACTGCAGAACAGAGAACTTACTACTAAAACTGGCATTATTGAAGATTTCACAGTGCAGTGGAAAATGCAGGTTTACGAGCAGGGCATGTAAATTATTGAGTATTTCTGACCTTTATTTCTACTTCCGCCTCAGTTTTCCACTTGTAAAATAACAGCAATACCATGTTATCATTTCAGGAATTTTTGGAGTTAATAGTAATTCCAGGTTTTGAATAATTTTTGTTTCAGCTCTTTTTAAGATGGGCTTCAGCTTCAGAAAAATTGAGATGCTTCATAAATGTATGCACAGTATTCACATGGAAGTCTTCCTAAACCACAGGAGGCTGACTTTATGTATTTGCTGTTGTTTCTAGTGCTAGTTATGCCCAAAACTTTTAGCTTTAAGTCTAAAAATCATTAATACACCTGGTTTAGGTTTAACTGTAACAGATGTGAAAGCAGCACTGTAAGGCTTAATGTATGTGCTAAATTGCAGGACAATGCACCTAATGGAAGGAGAGTTACCCACTTCCATGTCAGGAAGCTGTGGGGCAAGCATTAATGGGAAGCTGTACATATTTGGTGGATTTGATGATAAAGGATACAGTAATCGGGTATTGTATTATTTTCTTTCCATTTCATACTGTATTTGAATGAATAATGATGCTGACTTCACTGGTGTTTTGTCTGGTGTACTTTACATTTGAATTAAGGAGAAATTTAAGGAAAAAGCTTTATTTTTGTAGAAAAAGGATACTTTTAAACTGACAAAAATCCTTTAGTTTTTGTATTAAGTTTCAACTCCTTATATTTTTCACTGAATCATAGCTTCAGAGTAAGACCCATTATGTGAAACTTTATATAAAACTGCCAGTGCTTTCCCAATTTAATTTTTTTTTTTTTTAATATGTTGGCAGTCAAAATTGATCTCAGAATATCACTTTTCTTTTTGCTGTTTGATAGTGATTATCTTTCTTATCTATTCAGGTAATAAAGTTAAAATAGAGCTACCAGTTTTCCTTGTAACTGAAGACCGGTGTAAAAAAGTGGATGAAATGAGCCGTTTTGTCATTTAGTGTAAATGAAGTCAGAGTTCAGTCATGACTAGAAAATAACTAAAATGGAGCCTGTAACCAGATCTCAGTTCAGTACCTGGTTCACAGGCCTTGTTGTTTTTTGCACAGTTACCTGGTTAGGTTAGGTGGAACTACTAACAGTTCTGCCAGTAGAACTGAACTGGGAGCTGTTTGTCTTGCAGAAGTATTTTGCAAAGCTTCAGCTGACTCTGGAAGGAGCAGGATATTACTGGCTGAGTGAAGGCAAGGAAACTTGCTGCTGATTTTGACACTTTAAATGTATTCTTGTGATGTATTGGACTCTTCCTGTATGTTGCTACATACTGTAAATTTCACTGTCAGTTTCTTTTGTTTTGGTTTTTGTTTTCAAAGGAATGAGTGTATTCTGGGGGTATTGGGTTGTTCTTTTTGTTGGTGATTTGTGCTGGATTCTTCAACACCATTTATACTGAAAATATTGTAATTTTTTTCTTTTAAGCTTTATTATGTTAATTTGCGAACAAAAAATGGAACCTATAGGTGGAAAAAAATTACAAATTTTAAAGGTCAACCTCCTACACCACGTGACAAGCTTTCCTGCTGGGTGTATAAGGACAGGTAACACATTAAGAATATTTAATATGTGCTAATTGCAGAGACGAAGTACTATAAAGTGAAGAGCACGCAGGTTTGGGATTCATGAAACTTAATTCTTAGCTTGACTTGTTATGGGATTTTATGTAACTCTCCTAACAACTTTCTACCAGAGTTTTCTCATGTGTGAGCTGAATTAATGGTAAGTATAAACCCACTTTAGGGAGAGGGTTAGGAAATTTAGTAAAAGTTTGTGTGATGCTGTGAGACTTCCAATAAAAACCAGTATGCATCTGTTACTCCCGGGTTTAATTTCAACATGTTAAAAAGTCATTATAAAAAGGATGTTGTTTTTTGTTCCATTATATAAGCATTATATTATTACCTGCAATAATATATTTAGTACATTTTCAAAGGTTTTAATAGCCTACAGATGCTGACAGCTGCAAAGCCATTTCAGTGATTATTTTATAAGAACCAAGTCAGCTTAGGTATTTGTGTTGTAAAAGCTATGGAGTGTACTGAGGAAAAATACTTAGCTGAAAATAAATATTCAGATTGTGTTTATTAAATGTCTGGATATGTGGCGTATGTGGTTACAAGTGGCATGTCAGTGATTTACTATAAAAGCTATTGTAAACAAGAATATGATATACAGTGAACACTATAAAATGTAAATTATTTATCTGTTTCTGGAATCCACATCTAAAGAGGTTTTGCATAAATGTATAATGCCTCTCAGTATTCTGTCTTGGGTTTGTAATTCAAATTTAACTGCAAGATGTATGAAATTATATATGTTTGAACAACTTCTTAGCTGTTAATATGAGATTATTCAAAATGTAATTAATCTATTCAGAGTATCATGTAATCTGCATACTGAGAAAATCTCCCGTTTTAGGTGGCAGAGTGTAACCTTTTCATTTAACAACAGTATTTGGGGACAAGCTATGCACCTTTGCAGAAGTATACATTAAAATTTCACAAGATGTGAGTTTGCAGATCAGGATGTCTTGGTGTATTGCACAATGCTTTCAGTAACTCTGTTTCCCCAGGAATGTCAGTCTGGAATGATCTTCACCACCCCAGCATTTCCTTAATTGCCTTCTCCCAAGATCACTAGCAACTATACCAAATATCCTCAAATGTTGAAGTTAAAACTTTAGGAACCATTACTTATGGATGGCCATTTCATGGGTGGAATATTAGGCTGGGAGGTGTGTAACAGTACTTGCAATACATTCAGTAGCACTTAGTTGAAAGAATCTCTTTATAAGTTACAGAAAGACTTCGTGGGTCATAGGCAGTCTGTGGGCAGAACCTTGGGAACATTTGTTGTGAAAAGATGTATACGGAAGGCTAACAAAGGCAGGAGGAGCACAGGAATTTCAACAGAAAAGGGCAGGAATTCTAGCAAAAGCTTAGGCATGTCACAGTCTTGTGTGTTGTGTGTCAGTTGGAGACTTGTGACTGAAAATGTGACTGTAATAAGTTTGTCAATGAAGGAATAGAGAATAGGGACTCTTGAGTAGGATAGAGAATAGGTACTCTTCTTAAGTAGTCTCCTTCGTAGTTTATGTGGATTTCTGTCAGGCTTGTTGAGGAGCGTAGCTGTTAATCTTCATCTCAGTAAGGACTGCTAGGTAATTAGGTGCAATATGAGATATTTTAAGTTGTTTATATTATTAATATACAGTATAGTAGGTAATAAAAATTTGAAATAAATTATTACAGTTTATTAATTTGAATGTTATTTACAAAGCAGCCAACTGAACATATTTTTATTGTTGTTCTTTCAGGCTAATATATTTTGGTGGTTATGGCTGTAGGAAGCATAATGAACTGAGTGATTGTTTTGATGTCCATGATGCTTTTTGGGTAAGAGAGTTGTCACAATTCAGAGTGCTTTGTGCTTTCTGATTGTAAGTATGAAAATCTGACTGATTTTTTTTTTTTATTTGTAGCAGAAATGCAAATTAAGAAGCTTCTACTTCAGATTTGAAATTTCAGCTATGCCATGGTGGGAGCCGTTGGCTATTCAGTGTATTCCAAGTAGCCAGTGCTAAGCTTTGAGTTCAGTGAAACAAAATGCTCTTAAAGCAGAATCAAAGGCAGTATTTTAATTCTGAAGATATATTTTAAATACAGAACTTCCAGAAAATGTTAGAATTAATTTCCTTGAAGTAACAGTAGGGAATGTACAGGTTCACAAGTCTTAACTGACAAATACTTTCAGTTAAGTTCTTTTAATTTGTTATCCAGAGTAAATGCCAATACTTTGAGATGTCTGAATTAGCTGGTTTCCTAAAAAGATTTCTTACAGTTAATAGAAAGAAGACTGAATACAATATTTAGTGACAGGAATTAATAAGAAAAACATATGCATTCAGGGGAGTATAGATCCTTACATCAAATGTTAAATACTGACTTAAAGAAATGTATTACTTTGTACAATTATTTATTTCTTAGTATGCTACACACAAAATTAGAAGGTAGAATTTGTCTCCTGCAGTTCATTATGTTGGTGCCAAAAGCCCATTTGTCATCAGCCCTAAAATTCCTGAATACTGTTGTCCTCTAACTAGACTTGAGCTGCTGCATCATTATGAAAAATACTAACATGTTTCTTTTAATAAAATTGTGCATTTTCTGTTTGATGGATCACTACTGGGTCTGTATCCAATAAGCACAAAGATTTTAAAATAAAATACACTTATTTTTAATTTTTAAACTTTTTTTTTTTTTTAGGAAGGACAGATATTCTGGGGATGGCACAACGATGTTCATGTTTTTGATACAACCACACAAACTTGGTCTCAACCAGCAATTAGAGTGAGTGTGTTTGTCTGGTCTTTTGACACAGTTGTGATTTTACTGCATTTTCAGTAGTTACTGTGCTCTAGAGGTTGATGTTGGGGAAAAGCAGCCCAGAAAGCCAACGGTATCCTGGGCTGTATCAAAAGGAGCATGACTAGCAGGTCGAAGGAGGTGATCCTGCCCCTCTACTCTGCTCTTGTGAGACCTCACTTGGAGTATTGTGTACAGTTCTGATATCCTCAACATAAAAAGGACATGGAACTGTTGGAACAAGTGCAGAGGAGGGCCACAAGGATGATCAGGGGACTGGAGCGCCTCCTATATGGAGATAGGCTGAGAAAGTTGGGGCTATTCAGCCTGGAGAAGAGAAGGCTGCGTGGAGACCTCATAGCAGCCTTCCAGTATCTGAAGGGGGCTTATAAGGATGCTGGGGAGGGACTATTCGTTAGGGACTGTAGTGATAGGACAAGGGATAATGGGTTAAAACTTAAACGGGGGAAGCTTAGATTGGATATAAGGAAGAAGTTCTTTCCTGTTAGGGTGGTGAGGCACTGGAATGAGCTGCCCAGGGAAGCTGTGAATGCTCCATCCCTGGCAGTGTTCAGAGCCAGGTTGCATAGAGCCTTGGGTGGCATGGTTTAGTGTGAGGTGTCCCTGCCCATGGCAGGGGGAATTGGAACGAGATGGTCTTAAGGTCCTTGCTAACGCTAACTATTCTATGATTCTATGAAAAGTAATTTGAATATGCTTAGTGTTGTTCATGCTTATAACATGAAACAGGGGGACACTCAATGCCTCTGCAAGGTGAAAAATTCAGAACTAGTATGAATTTCTCTTTTCCCCACAGAATGTTATCAGATATGTTTTTTTTCTATAAAGTGGTTCTAATGCAAAAAAACCCAGTTGTAACCTTCAGAAAAGTTATTAGAAATCTGGACACATTAGAGGATGATACAGTATTCTGTATCTAGGGGATAATTTTGAGATAAAGCTTTGTATTTAAGCTTTAAGACTACTGTTGGGAATATAAAATTACTGTCAGCAGTCCATTATTGGAAAGACAAGGAACTGGAATACTCCAGGAAAACATTTAGTAGGAATACTGGAGTGGGGCTGAGGAACAGGGTGTGGAGGTGGTGTAGCTCCTCACAAAGCAAGCTCAGGTCCTGCAGAAATGAATTATGATTATACCAACTTTGGGTATCTTTATAGGCTCTATATTCATCCTGCCTCACATCTACCCAAGGGTTCTGGAATGAAGCAAAGGTCTACGGGGAGCTTGTGGTAGAAATGAATGAATGGTTTTAAGAGTGCCAAACTGAGGTTAACAAACCCCATCTCTCTGAACTGTTTTTATATAAAGCCATTTGGATGCCTGTATCTCTGTATAATTAATCTGCAACATGGATAAGCTATCATAGATAACAGACAGTTGACCACATGAGAGATTAAAGTCTGTCAGGGGATTTCTTCCGTTCTGGTGCTTCCCCCTTTTCATAAAGCTGCAAGGTCAGTGTGGAGGATAGTATTTTGGGCTGAAAGAACAATAGTGGTCTTGAAATCTAGTTTCCCTTGGCTCACTATTCGATTTTCACAGGCTTACAGAAGGCATGGGGTGAGAGAGAGTAAACTTGCTGTATTGCTAGTTAGACCTTCAGTTTTTTTCCTTTTGGCATAAAGATACGTGTTTAGTATGCTTGTTATTTTGAGCATTGTATATAAGGAGTTGTTGTATTTCCTTCAGGAGTTAATGTTGAAAAGTCTTTTGAACAAATTTTTCTTTGTCATGCTGCACTGTTAGAAGAAACAGATCAGATATTATCCAGCAAATACATTATTTTTAACAATCTTCCAAAAGACCATGGAGACTCACTTTCCCAGTAAAATAGTAATGCACACGTTTCTATTTATTGGTATTAATATGATAGTATACAGTAAGGGTTCATAAAATTCTGGTCAATTTACGTAAGAACTCAGTAGAGGTATATTGAGCGTCTGACACTATTTTATGAACTTTATAGGATGTTCTAAAATTCCTATAAAACTAAGTGTAAAAAAAGAAATAAATTACCATTGAAAAGTAAAAGCCAGTTTTGCTGTCTTTATTTCTGATTTACACAGGGAAGGCTTTTTGGTATGTGAATACTGGATGTAGCATCAAATTTTAAGCTCTGATTTCTGAAGATTTTAGTACCAGTTCCTGATGAGTTGCACTTTGGAAAAATAAAACTGCACGGGATATATCAACAGTAACTGATGTGTTAACTGTAATTTTATGCTTAGGAATTAAAGATAAATTAACTGAATTTCACTTAAGCAATGATAAATCAGACCGAGAGGCAACATATTAAACATCAGCAACTGAGGGAACTCAGTAAAAGCTGTCCTTGGCAATTATGCATATCTTCTAGTGCCTGTGGGGTCTTGGACATGACTACAAATGATTTAATGTTAAACCTGCAGTTCTGTCAGTGTGTTGATGCATGTTGGCCTTACATTTGCAGTCTCTATGTTATTGAATTGCCACTATCCTTGGCTGTCACTTTGATGATGTTCTAAAGGATCTTATTTTGGTTCTTTCAGGGTGGAGATCCACCTCAGCCTCGAGCAGCTCATACATGTGCTGTGCTGGGAAATAAAGGTTACATCTTCGGAGGACGAGTGCTGGTTAGTGTTTAATTAAAACATTACATTAGCAGTAATACTGTTTTCTTGGCAGGCTGGTTTTTGTTGGTTTTGTTCGTTTGTTTTTTTCAATGGCAAATTTCTTTGTAGTAGAAAAAAAAATCCAAAATGTCTTTGGTCTAACCCGTATGTTAGGGATGTTGAATCCAGGATGCTTCTTTTCATCCCCCTCTAGCTTACAAAAAGAAGAGTCTGTCTTTCTGTCTGTAGTGTTAACGTTGAACTATACATTGTCCCCAGAAAGTAAAAAAAAACATGACTCTGTGGTAAATGCCAGTGTTTATAAAACAACAAAAGGGGTTGACATGTGTCACCTCTGTAAGAGTCAGTTCTTTGAGAGTGGAGCAAAGCAAGCCTGCTGAGAGAGCAGGTTTAAATAAATGATGAGACACTGGCATTCTGGGCTTGTTACAGTGTAGCAGATTTATACATCAAACCTTCTGTCTTTTTTTTTTTCCCATTTCACATAATGAAGTGCTAGCAAGCAGTAAATACAACTGGGATTTTTAGCTTGTATTCCTCTTTCCCCCCACACCCAGCTAAAGAAAGGAAATGTGTAAGAACAGTCAGTTATGTATACATCTCTCATACTTTGATGCTTTTACCTTCTGGGAAAGCAAAGTCCAGAATAGCTGTTGGGATACAGTATTTTATCTTTACACTTGCAAGGTGTTGTGTTGAAAGGTAGGATTTGAAAAATAACAGATTTCAGTTGGCTTTATAATTTTAACTTTTGCCATTTTTTGCACATAAGCAACTGAAATACAGATGTTTGGAAGAGCAGCATGTGATTATGATGTCTGGATACAGAGCTATTAGTCTCTGCATATTCAAGCTGGTACAGGATGCTGCAGCATGTTACCTGATAGCACAGGCTACTGCAAGCATAGGTCTTTCCAATCCTTTTAAGCTTCTTCTCTGTTCTCTGAATGTCAATTTTTCAGTCGCAGTCTCTAGCATGCTCTGTGCCTTTGATACAGAATGTGTGCAGCGTACCATAGAGATTGCTGTTAACAGCTTTATTCTGTGGATCCAATATAAGCTCTTTACAGCAAGAGTAAGGCTTGTATTTGCTTTCTTGATAGTTAATCCAAGACTGTACCATTTAATATGCTATGGGAGTACCTTCAGTCTGTTATCCCTTAAAGCAGTGCAAGAGCTGTCTGTATAGGATGCAATCAATGCATATTTAAATAGAAGCTAGATTCTTCATCTATAATAATAACTTTTCCCAGCTGTTTATAGTATAAAAAAAAAAGGTCTGTACCAAACAAACCTGAACCACCACTGGTAAGCAATGAAACTAAAAGCTCTCAGCAACATACTTAATTTTTCTAGTACTTTTCTAATAGACTTTTCTCTTGAGTTCTTCTTTGCTGAAGCATTAGTATAAGAATTTAAGCCCAAGACAACAATCCATTACAAAAAAATTTATTCCTGTCTTACGTCTGAAAATAGGGATGGTGGTAGGTAGTCTGAACTAATGCAGGCTCCCCTATCATTTGTACATTTTTTTTTGCAAGGATAGTTTCTTTGTGGGCTGGAAAAAGTGCCAGCTCTATGCAAAAGCACAGAGAAAACTATTTTTAAAGGATTCTGTATGAGCTGGAGTTTAATTGGAAATGTGAGAAACAAATTATGTAAGGCAAGTAAAAAAAACTAAGGTAATGTGTACTCTTCTGTATCCTTTTTTTGTAAGTTTTTAGCTCTTTTTACCTACAGCTAATTTAGAGCCTTTAATCATATTCAGCTTGAGGATGAGACTTCATGCTTTTTATCTCTACTGTTATGAAAAGTAACAGTGAAGAAGCTTTTAAAAGCCCTCAGTGCTGTGTTTCTACAATTTTATTACCTGAAGGAGAAGGAATTAACTGTTGGTTGAAAATGCCCTACAATAAACGTATGCCAACTTCATCTTGGAAAGCTGCCATAACCTAAACCCTGCATTTAAGTACTTGCAAATAAAACAGTGTAAAATTGCACTTTGTTCCCTATCCCCTGTTCTTTATGCTATAAAAGCTGTACTTGAATGCAGTGTTCTTCTTAGGGAAAGACTATGATTGTATTACAAAAAGGCTTACTCCTGCTTGCTCAGACAGAAACCAGACATACAGGTTGAGGCATATTCAGAATGGCTATGCAACATCCAGCCAGTTTTTCAGTCTCAATTTCTTCCCACAGCTGCAGGAAAATTTTTAGCTAACTACCTTTTCAGAGCAATCAGCAAAGAAAGTAACCAAAATTGATTCTGTTTATTCTTATCATTATTCATTATGTGTTATGTGGCCTTTCATACAGGCTAACAACATCTAGAATTGTTAAAATCCCACCTCTGACTGCAAGAGAACTGCACACAGTAGATTCCAGAACTGTAGATTTGGACAAACTTGGTTTGCAAATAACTAAGGAAATAATGGGATATTAGGAGAGATTGAGAAAGTATCTAGACTTACTTGAATCTTTATGTGTGGAGGTTAGCCAGACTAAATGAGCCCTGTGCCTCTGCTATGGACTTGCTCTTTGCTGTATAAATGAACTCTTGCTAAGCACAGTTAAACCAAAACCTGCTCCTCATTTAGCAAGCCTGCAGTTGTGAGAGAGAAGGAACCCTAGATGTGAAGAAGTACACATGCAGCTCAGGACCTTCTTGCCTACCATTTATTTCTGAATGCTTCCTCAGCCTTCAAAGCCTTGCTCCCTTTGGCTTTTTGTTAGCAAGGGCTATTTCTGTGAGGCGCAGAGGTCTTCACCCCAGAAACATGATAGCATTGATTGTTGTGTACAAACTAGTTAGGGTTGCTGCACTGTGCCTGCTGCAACTGAATGGCTTTGTAACTCAAGCTAGGGTTCTCATACAGCCTCTGCAAGTGAAATTATTAGTAAACTGGAGCTTGCCTGTCATTTCTCCACTGTGCTGTTGCATGATTAGAATATGCCCTAGGAGGACATGCCCTCTGGCTTCTGTTTAACTCTGACTATTAACTATAGGATTCAGAAATGCAAGAAGGCTTTGATCTTTGATCTTTTTAGATCCCTCTGATCTTTGATCTTTTAGATCCCTTTGATCTAAAGGTTTTTATTTTCCTCAGGTAGCATCAGCTCCTTAATAACCATTTGCTAAATTTCAGTGAAACCACTTGGGAACAATGTCAGAAAAGAGTGAAATTTTGGAAAGCTATATTAATTTTATAGGGGAGCAGCAAATGTAATTTTCATCTTAGTATTATTGATTTACTTTCTATTCTAGAAATAAATGGAAGAAAACTTACAAAGGGTAGGGAACATTCAGTAGGGCTTGAGGAATTAATGTTAAATCATGAAACAGGAAAGCTAAATACATCAGAAAAACACTACACTTCCTGACAGCAGGAGTAACTCCTCCCCAAAGGATGAAGTCTTGCTTTTCTCCATACAGTAAGGAGCAAATACAGGGTTGCTCTGCTCCTCCTTCTCCTTCTAGTTCACCATAATACAAATCTTCCCAGGGAAAAGGCTCTACAAGGAACCAGAAAGGGCCAGGAAGTGTCATGAGGCTTCTCCTATTCATCTTTCTGGGAGGAAAGGGCACCTTTTTCCAGACTTGGAGCTAGAACTGGTTAAAGAAGATGATGATGATCAAAATCAATTGTACCAGGAATCATTTGAAAACAGGCTCAGAAGTATTATGTGGACTCTGTTCCTCCAGGTAAGCCCCTGAAAAAGCAGAAATGGGAGAAAGTGGGAAGGAAGGAGAGTTAGTCCAAAAGTTGATGCGAGTCTCATGTTTGATTTAAGTGGAAAGTTTTCATGTAAAAAATGATGAAGTAATAAGTCTTTCCAGCAGCTCTTCACGTATGTGAAGCCTTAATGTATGCATGTTTATATTTCCTGTTATCCCTTCTGCCACTGAAGATCAGAAGATATGTTGAACTGCAGTCCTTCTCTTACAAAGATTTTGAGCTGTAATAGCTGCTTGATTGTGAATCTCAGAATGGAGAGCTGCACAGTTTACTGTACCAGCAGTGAGCATCACTGTGAACATCACCCTTAATGGCTTTCATGCTAGAAAGCTAATCCTGAGACAAAGCAGATCCTGGTTAATGTTTACTGGGATGCAAATAAATGAACATGCCATAGATAAGTAGGATGTCTAAGGAGTCCTTGTAGCTCAAAGGGAAAGGCAAACCCTCTTACGAGGCTTGATGCTGTTAAGACAGTTAAGACTCATTTTAGGATTGTCACATAAATGATTAAATATAGTAGGTAGCATTTAGAAATACATGAGGAACTACAAGAAAACTTTGCATGTGGCAAGTAACTACACTATAATGTAACTGTGTGCTTTATAATAGTTTCCAAATTAAGGGTTGGGTAGAAAGGCATTTTCATTTGTTAAAGCTATGTTAAAGGACTGAATCTTAAGACATAAATGTCCAACTGATGCTGTGTGTTGAATTCAAAATGAGATTGATGTAATTATGCATCTGTCAGTCTGTTGAATCATGAGAATGTAAAGATTGTAATACATTGATTTCCCAAGGGCCAAGAAACTGAAAGCTACTCTGTCTTCTGCCTAATGCCTAGGAAAGGAAAGTCAGCGAGGAGGTCTTGAACAGGATCTTCCTGAAAACATAATTTCCAGCATAACAGCAATTTTCTTTCTTCCTTCTCTTTTAATAGATGTCCTCCATATTGAACTGTGTTATTCTGAAATGATTAAATGTTTTTTTTAGTTCTAGAGGCTAGGATGTTGCTTTTTACCACCCTACCCCCAAGTGTCTAGCTGTGTACAGGTACAGTAGAAGATACTCAATAACTGCATTTTGCTTTCCGCTTTTATAATTTGTTCCACATCTCTTTCAAAGCCACCTGAGGGAGCAGGAAACTGAATAGACTTGTCATGGAAGACAGATCTGTTCCACTAGCTGTCAGCTGGACTGTGTTTTACTGTTACATTCACCCTCTTATGTGGGTAAAGTCTCTCAAGCACTGCATAAAGGCCCTCACATTCTGCTTTTCTTCAGGCTACTGGCCTGTCTGAAGGCATTCCGAAATGCTAGTTAACATTCTCTTCCCTAGCACAGAAAAGGGCTAGAAGGTACTTGATCAGAGGAGGCCATAGCTATCCCGAAAATGTTGCTGTTTCCTGAAATACCCTGAGAGACTTTCTATAGCTCTGATGGACAGCTTTGGAAGTCTCTCAAGCTCAATAACTGGCTGAGTCCTCATGAGTAAAACTACTTCTATTCTGACTTAAATGACAAGTCTAGTTTCTGCCTCAAAGGATCTGCAAGCTGGAGAAAGACTTATTCTAATAGATCTATATACTACCCTAGGAGAAAAGGAATTGTAAGGTAAGGCAAAATATATTTCCCTACTTCTCAGATACTGTTTTGTAGTACCTAAGGGAATCACAAATACCCGTCAAGGGTATTGAAAGCCATTGAAGATATTGTCACAACCTAAAGCAAAGAAATTCTTATATTCCCCCCCCCCTCGTTTTATGTTTCTAAGGCACTTCCTTCCTTCATCCTAAAACACAGGCAGATATGTAAGTGTATTGACCTCCCATTGTTGTTATCGATACATTTTATTGTGAAAAATGCTAAAGGGTCATAGAACCTTGTCGTTGATAGTAGTAACTCTGAGAAAAGGCTTGCCTTCTGGAAAAGAGAAAAAACACAGATGTGACAAACTTTTTGTGGGATGTCATGTACACAGTACAGTACCTATTAGAATATTTCAAGGAATAAGTGACCAAGCAGGAGGATGCATAGTTCTGGTCAGAATGCAAAGAAAAATAATGAGAGGAAACTACCTGAGTGTTTATACCCTCTGCAATTACCTACTGTGAAGTCTATGGATGAAAATTGGAATATGTTTGCAGGACCTGAATATCACATAGTTCTTCACTATTAAACTACTATTAAAGCTAAAATTGAGCCCATTGTGCCATTGCATGGCTGTAAATATTCCTGTCGGGTACATTTTTGAGAGTTGCATGGGTTTTTTGAGGAGAAACGCTTTTCATCTGCCACAAAATAGTGTTGTTTAAGGCACATGGGTACAGTTTTCTTCAAAATACTATTACTTTTCTGTAATATTCTGTCCTGGGAAGGCCTTGCTGAAATACTTTGCTCATTGTTTGCTTAATGTAACAGAACTGGGATTTTATTTATTTTTTTTTTAGCAAACTAGGATGAATGATTTGCACTGCCTGAATTTAGACACTTGGACTTGGTCTGGAAGGTAGGTTTCTCTCTATAGCATTTAAAGTTGAGTGTAACAGATTGAAACATATTGTTAAATAGTTCCACTGCTAATTTTGGAGCTTTTCCAAGAAGAGAATGGGAGTTTGGGGACTATTTTAACAGCTGTTATATTGTGATTTCAATTTAATTTAATTTTATAGTGGTTACTAAGCTTTTTCTGTTCCACACCAAAGCGTTGATGATACTGTTTTAAGCAGAGCATGTAGTGATGTAACATCCTAATTTTCAAGTCCGGTACATTTATCCATATGGAATTTTGATGTCTTTTTGAATACTGTTTTTAGTGCATATATTTGGCTGGTTATGGTACAGACTGGGGAAAGATCTCACCCCATCTAAGATAAGCATCTTAACCATTTCTTAAAAAATCAAGAAAAAGCATGACCATACTTCAATTTTAAACTAAATTAGGTATTAGGATACTTCCTAAGATTTGTTTGTTTGCATATAGCATATATGATGGCACCTACGCCGTGTGTAGAATCAGTGCATATATTGCTAGGTGATAAACCAGGAGATAAATGGATGGATGACAATCACTGTTCTGTTCCTATTCTCAAGGTAACCTAACAGTAATTTCATAAAAGACCATGAAATACACCTTTCCTGGGTACTGGTCCTGCTCCAGGGCTTTATGTACTTCATATACCTGTGATGGCCAACAGTAATCACCTGTGGCTGCTGATCTGATCCCACACCAAGTGGGTTCTCTGACCTGAGAGCAAAGCAAAGGAGTAGACATAATCACAGAATGGTTTGGGTTGGAAGGGACCTTAAAGATCATCTAGTTCCAACCCCCTTGCCATGGGCAGGGACACCTTCCACTAGACCAGGTTGTTCAAAGCCCTGCCCAGCCTAGCTTTGAACACTGCCAAGACTGGGGCAGCCACAACGTCTCTGGGCAACCTCTTCCAGTGCCTTACCACCCTCACAGGGGAGAACTTCTTCCTGATATCTAATGTAAGTCTCCCCTCTGCCACGTAAAGCCATTCCCCCTTGTCCTGTTCCTAGAGGCCCTTGAAGAAAGCCCCTCTCCAGCCTCTTTAGGTACTGAAAGGCTTATCTAAGGTCTCCCAGAGCCTTCTCCAGGCTCAACAAGCCCAGCTCTCTCAGCCTGTCTCCAGATGAGAGGTGCTGCAGCCCTCTGAGCATCTTTGTGGCCTTCTCTGGACTTGCTCCCACAGGTGCACATCCTTCCCATGTTGGGGGCTGAGAGCTGGATGCAGTACTCTAGGTAGGGTCTCACAAAAGTGGAGTAGAGGGGGAGAATCCTCTTCCTTGACCTGCTCTTCACACTTTTGGTGCAGCCCAGGATATAGCTGGCTTTCTGGGCTGCAAGTGCACAGTTCTTCATCTGTTCTTTTGTGCTGCTGATGGGAGCACCAGAAAGAAGTCCTGCAGTGTCCTATCAAAGATCTCTTCAGTTAATATTTATGGGTAACTAATCAGTTTAATTCCTCCTTTTCATTGCTGGTTGTTTTAAAAATAACAGTGCTCACTGTAAATGATAGCACTGTCTCTCTGAGACTGTGAACTATACCTCCGAGTGGATTGATTATTCAGATAATTGCTTTAGTTGCTTACTTTTTGTTGTCCCATGAGCAGCTGCTGTTTGCTTGCTTTTTATTGCTTTTCAAAAGGAAACCTGGGACAGTTGAGTGAGAAGTCAGTGAGAGGAATTTCAAGCCCTGAAGGAGGGATGTCCAATCTCTAAGTCTTCAGCCAGTGTTCCCTTTTGTTTGGCATTTGAAAATCAATATTGAAATTTTTTAAAAGTGTTTTCTGGTCTTGACCTGAACACCAGGCCAATTTTTCATATGTATACAACACACATCCTTAGACTAAAGACGGTAACACTAAATGCAGCCTAAACTCCTAAAACCTAAGATTGTTCCAGTATCTATGTTGTGATCCAAGAATAGCTCACAAGATTTATCCATGATTCAGTATAGACTTTGATCAGTATAAATTTAGGAGCCTACTATCCAGCCATTCTGTAGCACCTCTGCAAAGAGTCCTTGAGATACTGAAAAAATATAGCAAAGAAGTGCTTGCTGAGACCAGTATAGTTACGTATTGGGAGTGTAAAATAAAGGAAAATCACTCTATGTCATTTGAGTACCAGCAATAGTTTTGAATAGTTCTACTCAGACAATCCATTTGCAGCTGAAAACTGCCTCTAAAAAGCCATAGTGTCATTCCAGTATTTTGCAGATGGGGAAATTCCTTCAGACTTGTTTGCTGTTAGGGTAAGCATTTTCTCCTTCAGGTGTTTCATGCGAGGAAGCTTTCCTTTCTTATGCTATGGCTTTAGACTCCTTTCTACTGAAAATTCTGATCCAATAATGAATTAAAAATTGGGCAAGATGCAGCCTTTCTTATCTTGATATCATAATTATCTCAGCCATTCTGCATCTGCAGAGAGATTGCCTTTGACTGCCCACATTGAATTATCACTAAACAAGACCCAAGGATTTAATGCAGATTAAAAACTTTGCCTTCTGAATGCTGCTGACCATGGCAAACTAACTGCAATTGTTTGAAGTTCTTCTGTAAAATACAGATAGTCCAGCAAGGAGGACTTGGTCTGTACAGTCCTACATTCAAATTAATTCACCGGACATCTGAGAGAAAAATTCCAACTACAGTAATGATTTTATTTAAAGCCCCATGGCTTCTCATTAACCAGTTATGTCAAGGTTTTGTTTTGTTTCTTTTTTTTTTTCCTTACTCTATGGAGGTTTCTTGAGAAATTGCATAATATTAACCTACTAATCCAGGAATATCTTCGAGCATGACACGGCAATATTTATTTGCCACTGCCCAGAAGTTACATTGCCTTCCCTGAGCTCTACTGATTTGTTATTCAAAACATTCAATATCATATTTGTTACCATGATAATTTTTTGTATCAGTAGTGTGAAAGACTGAAATGTTATCACCCATCCATGTCTGGTATATATTTTTCTAAATATCAAAGCTGGTTGTATCTCAGCACAGTCTGCCTCTTTACCAATTTTAGAAGCATCTTATACAAGACTTATGCAAAGCAGGCACTCAAACACTGTGGCTTGGCTTCAACTTCAGAGCCAAATTTAGGACCGTATTGCCATCACAGTTTAATTAGCTATGACTTTTCAGTCTTTGCTTCCAGATGGAGAAGTGCTTAGCAGTCACCAACAGTGAAATTCCTCTAACTGAACTGCGGATGCCTGTATTACTCACTCTAGGCTTCCTCTGCACTCAGTTAAGAGAAACAGGTACTTCTTGAGCACAAAGACAACTACTGCTAAGTCAGAGATCTAAAATAAATCAAGAGTTGTGCTTTTGAAGAGCCTGTTTCTCTTCACTGATTATAAGGAAATACAGATGACTGTCTGCACTGTCCATATTGTAGATTGAGTACACATCTGTGTGTATTACACTGACCTCACTTCAGCAAAGAGGAGGTATAAAAAAAAAGTAACTGGTTCTTTGAGCTACAGTCCACCTGGTTTGAACATTCCCTTCTTACCTGCTCTGGACAGTCTCCCACTAAAATTCTGACACTGCAAGACAGCTTACAGGTGTTTGTACCTGTTTTTTCCACCAGCTTTCCAAAATGAGGACATACTGGGTACACAGTGGCCTAGATTCTTTGTGTGTAACTTTAGATACTTACAATAGGAGTTGCCTCTTTGCACAGTATTGAGATACTATGTGAGCTGATGCCCTCTGGAGGTCCTTCTTACATGCTGGCTCTGTTTGGATCTTCCTGAGACAGATGTTAAACTTAGGTGTACAGCTGAATGCTGTGAATTCAGGCCACCCATTATAGGTAATCCATTATGTTCAGGTTCTTTTCTGCTCAGATTCTCATCTTGACCATACTTAATTGTGTAGCTAAAATGAAACAAAAATCAAATCTATGTTTTTGTAAGATGAGCACATTTCTTGAACAATAAACCTACATCTGTTTTGTACTTATGAATTCCACTTTTTACTAAAATTTATCTCAAAGTTTGGGTGACTCTCTGTTGTGTTAAAAGGCACAATGTTTGAAGAGGTAGTAGCTTTTGGTTAGAAGGTAAAGACACAGTCCTTATATCATTTAAGATAATTTTCCTCAGAGAAGAGAGACTGTAGCCCTCAGGATTCATTAAATTTTATCTCAAATAACTGAGTCTGTTTTCCTTCAATACTGTGCAGTTTATTTGAATATGTAGTTCATCCTTTGCTGTCCTAAGTGGTTTTTAGTTATACATTAAGTAGTGGCTTTAGTAATCTTAAGAAAATAAGCAAAATAACAATGCTTTTGTCCTTGCATTGGTATGTACATAACTGATGGTTCAGAGAACAGTTACTACAGAAAATTGCGGTGTTTAGATTTGAACATCACTCTTCTCAAGAGTAAATTCGCATTGCTTAGGTGCAGTTTTTTTTTCACCAGGAAAATATCCAGGCTTGTTCTGTGACAAACTAAATTAACTGTTAAATTTTCTGGCAGGTTAATTTTCAGCATTCTTTGAACATTTGTTTTTGTTTGTTTCACCAAGAATTAGTATCAGCGGAGAGAAACCAAAGGATCGGTCCTGGCACACGCTGACTGCTATAGGAGATGACAGACTTTTTCTTTTTGGGGGACTAAGTTCTGATGATGTTCCTTTAAGTAAGTAATTTAGAGATTACGATTCTATGGTACACTTAAGTACTAACCTCATGTAGTGTGCGCATTGTCTTTCTCAAACTACTTCAACCTAAATCTTGTTACAGGATTTTCATGGCGCTGAGTATTTCTCTAGCTGTTTTATTATTTTTATAGACATACGTTGTGTAGTACAATGAGAACATAAGATAATAAATCCTCAAACTGTCTTGTCATCTAAAAGAATAAAGGCAAGAGTCTCACATATTTTGAGATGGACAAGGGGTAACTTGATATCAATAGCAGTTACAGGGAGAAGACACAATAATGTCAACATAATGTAGATTTTTGGATGAGTAACAAATCACAGGTACAAAATGTTAAATAGGAAGTAGAACAGTCTTATACTGAATTGCTTTTCTAGAAAAGGCTTCTTTTTATGAAAAAATGTGAAATTGGTGAAAATAGTTTTGAGTCAAAGACATATTCCACTGAGGGGGGGTGATTTTCTCAATATATCAAGAAAAAAGAAAAGTTAAGTGTATTTTAATTCCAGATTTCCATGCTTTCTGTGGTTGAGTGGTTAAGTTAAATTACACCCTGAAAAGATGCTAGTTAATGTAGTGATGATGTTAGTTTTCTTAATATATTGTGCTCTTAGAACACAAAGCTTTTTGTATAAATACAAAAGGTAATACTTTGTCCCAGGAAAAGAATGCTAATGTATGTTTTTACGTTGTAGGTGATGGCTGGATTCACAGCATTACAACAAATGGATGGAAACAACTTACCCATTTGCCTAAGAGTAGGCCTAGGTATACAAAAATAGATGTTTGCTGAAATATAAGCATTTTTAAAAATGAAGTAATTTTAAATTATCAGTCTTTTTAAGCTATATTATAAAAATATTCTAGAAAATTAGTGCAGTTTCCTTTACTAACTTATGTTCCTTCCTACCTGATACAATGTTATTACTTTCTGTATTTGTTATAGTCTGTGTTTACTTGAACTAAAAGATATTTTTATTTTTTTTATGATGAGGGATCTGGGTGTCCAACTAACCTGATGTTCTATAGCCAAATTCTTTTTATACAAGAATATGTAATCACGTAACTTTGAGGAATTAATAACTTATGTGAATAATAGAGGCTGATTAATGTTGATACATTATTAGAAACATGGGGGAGAAAACCATGAAAGTGTTGATACACCTTTCAGGGTTCAAAAGTATTATAAAATAACTAGTTTGTTTGTGGTTGGTTGGTTGGTTTTTTGCCCTGAGCAGGAGCACCTAATTATGATTACAGCTTTGCAAAACTGAATTTAGTACTAAACAGCACATTAAGTGACTGTGGACTTTTATAATTTTTCAAGGTCTTAACTGCCAACCAGAATGACCAAGTCCTAGAATGTGTGTTGCCAGTATGAACCATAATACTGTCTCTTCCAGGCTCTGTGCCTCTTCCCTCTCTAGTTTAAGACTGCTATTAATTCTTTTTGACTAAAGAAAGCAAATTTCATGTTGAAGCTGCCACTGAAAATAGATGCTTGCTCTGTCAGAACACAGACTATTTTGTAACACAGTGTTTAAAACCTTCTCTGTATTTATAACATAAATACTATTGAATTGATTTGCTGTAGATAGTAAATACTCAGTTTTTCATGGAGTTCATTCTACACATTCGTTCACCAGGTACTCAGCACAATTTTATAAAAACTTTTTTTAGCATAGTGTACAGTTGTGGTTTGGCATTTGCATGCTGCCTGCCTTACATTCTGCTTTTATATTACTGAAATACCTTTACCTCAATTCATTTTTTCCCTGTTTTATCTTATTCTAGGCTGTCTTTTAAATATAACAGCACTGTTAAACCAAGTTTTCTGCTTTCTTATATTTCAGACTCTTTCAAGCCCAAATAAACGTATATCTTAGCTTCACTGAATATTTTCTGTCTTTTTACAATTACGAAAGTGATAGATGGACTAATGACTGCCTTAAATAAGAAAGTGCATCATTAGCACTCAAGGATCATACCTTTCCTTATGTTCAGTTTTTTGTATGGATGGTCTTGTAAAAGTTAACTGCTGAAGTGGATTTGTGTGATTTTTTTTTTTTTTTTTTTTTTTTTTTTTTACTAGTGCATCATGAAAAGGATCAGGAAGGGCTTGAATGTGCTTTTTCTGCAGGCAGTAGCTCAGAGAGCTCCAGCTCAGCTTTTGCTCTGCAATTAAGCTGGAATAACCTCTGGCAGTAGGGCTGGATGTTGGGAACCTGTGACTCTTGAACCCCAGGTGGTTTTCAGGCAATTCAAGGGCAGATCCCATGCTAGGCTGCAAAGTGGAACTGTCACTTGGCTGTGCTGGCAGAGAGGCTATTGAACAAGCCACCTTCCTTGCTGCAGCAGAAGCACCAAAGAGGGTTCCTGAGGTTGACACCACTAAATTTGCTGGAGACTGTACTACACATGCAGCCTAGACTCTCCAAAGGGAAGAGAACTTTTGGATGACATGCTGACAAGAGTCTCAGAACTCCCTCAAGTCCAAACGTGTTCTGTGATTCTCCACCACCTCAGGGTATTGGTATGCACTTTGTTGTAGGCTAAGGAGAGTTCTCTTTCATTGACCTAATTGTTTATTGAAGTAAATAACCTCCCTCTCCTTTTTGAAAAAATAAATATTTAAAAAGTACTTAAAACATTTCTCAGGAAGTCCTAGAAACATGGATAAAAGAGGCCATACCAAAAGCCTCTTTCTCTGTTGAACTAGTTTGAGTGTGAAGTACGTACTTGTACCATAATGGTAGCCCTATACTTACATGGGATTTCTGCAGCTGAAAAAGGTTTAGGTCAGTTCTATCACTCGTATGACTTTACAACAGGATGTAAAATGCACTGGCAATAATACATATATATGTACTTCTTTTGTATATTTCTGTTGTTTTATAGCAATGCACAGTATGTCATATATGCATTAGTGTATTTTCCTGATGCTTATTCAGAATTGAGTCCCTCCTTCTGTAAAGGTTAATTTCCTTCAACTTTCATTTTTAGTAACTTTTAAAAAATTGTCTTCCAGGTTATAGATATGTGATTCTGTATTGGTAGAAAATATTTTCTTTTCCTTTCTGTCCATTAATTGTACTTCAGCTAACATTTTGCATGCCAGGTTAAAATACAGAGCAAATTGTATGTTTAACTTGGATTCCCAGTGATTTCATTACAATGTAATTCTGCTATTATAGTTAGAAGAGCTGTGTAAAAAGGTTACATCAGTTCAGCATCTGTATAATTAACATGTTTTGTTAGAATGTTTAGGTGCTAAGTTAGAGTAGCTGTGAGAGGAGAGATGTCAGTCTGTAGAAAAAGCCCCAGGTTGCAAGCTAGGATGTCAACAGAGTCAAGGCGGGAAAAGCTTCCCAGTGTTCTTCGGTGACGAAATCCAGGCGAGAGATTTTGTAATGCAGATAAGGCAGAGACAGACCTATCTACAGGTATGAGGAAGAGAAAAGGTGGGATACAGTTTAGCCTAAGGAAGATGGTGAATAATTACTGATATGAATGGAGTAAGAAAATGAGAATGTTTACTTTTGTGTGAAAGTTCTGGTGCATATTATTGTGGTTAAGTAGGTTTAAAGGGCCAGAGCTCTGTGGTGATAATCATCTGGCGATACTTACTTCAGTAGTGATATGCTAGTAGAAAAATTATAGATTTTGATTTGCTAATAATAAAAAGTAAATCTAGTAAGGTGTAGCTGCTGAAGTAGCAGAATCTTTGTTAAAGCAAAATTATTCAAGTCAGGTGTGGGCTTGGTTTTGTTTGGGTTTTTTTTTTATACCATGTGCTTTTATATTCACAACACAATTTTCATGTGGGCATGATGAAAGTAATTGACACAGTAATGATCCCCAGGAAACTTTGGGGGAATCTTAAAACCTGGAACAGGATAACCCATGTTCTGAAGTTCTCATCTTAATGTTTGGGTTAAGAGTCAGTACTGAACCCCCCCCAGTCTTATAGCCATTAACAACTGTAGTTATGAAATAAAGAAATAGAAATAATCTTACAAGAAAAAGGACAACAAAAGCTGTTCTTGGCAAAAGCTTCTTTTGTATAGTTTTGTTTTCTAAAATTTTTCCACTGTAACATTTTCTTGAAGTAGTGATAAATAACACACAGTATATATAACTATACGTATCAGAAGAGTCAAAGACAAAAATATATTGGTCTGTAAGAAATGTAATAAAATTCCTCAGAAATATCATGAGATGGATAGCCATATTGCTCTCTCCTTTTATATTCCTAAAAAAATTAGTAATATTATGCTATATGGTATTATTTTTTACCTCTGAAGAGGTAAATACTATGCAATACAGGCTTTGTCTTGGTTCCCTAAGAAGTTAGAATTCCATTATTGTGCTTAGCACATGCATGACTGCCTCTTCTGCCCATGTAAGTTTTGAATCAATTTACCCTTTCAGTGCTATTTGACAAAGGAGTGGGAACCTCAGAGATACTGAATCCCACCACACTCAGTGAAAATAAATGGCCAAACAGAAGAGAGCAACGCTCATAATCGCTTACTCTACTTAGCACTCAGCACTTACTCTCCATTCTTCCATAAGAAAAATGAAGGCCAATAAAGAACAGGTATTGTTTCTGCAGGCTCACAGAGCAGGTTGTAAAATCCATTACTTAAGCACTCAGACAGAAGAATCTTAAAATTTTAAGTAATGGAATCATAGGATTTAAAAAAAAGTGGCCTTTCCATTTTAGTTAAAAGGAACCTTCATCCTTATTGCAAAAAAGGAACCGATATCATTATAGCAAAAGTCTTTTCAAAAGCAACTTAAATGTGAAGAATGGAGGACAGTCTATGTGAGGTGAAGAGGTTAATATACAAGTAAACTTAATGCTTTTCCAAAACCCTTAAAAGAATTTAGTTTTAACATTTGTTTTGCTGACAACATACAACTGCTTGTTGTCACTTGGTCACTAATTCTATTTCTAATTTTATTTCTAGATTGTGGCATACAGCCTGCCTTGGAAAAGAAGGAGAAGTGATGGTGTTTGGTGGAAGCAAGGATGACTTGCATTTCATGGACACAGTCAGTAAAACAAATAATGAAATCCTATCATTATGATTATAAAAATGTATATAAAACAATACTGGTGATGATATGGGGTTCATTGATATGTGATGGTGAGAGATATGATCTCAGGTGTTCTTGGAAAGTAATTTAGGAGGGTTGTTTTTTTTTTCTTGCTCTTGTTAGGCTCATAAAAAGGAATTTATTATTCAGATTATTTATAAATAATTATATATATATTAACCATTTTAAATTATGCATGTGGTCATAAATGTTACATTAATGTAGAAAACAGCAATGTTTGAGATAAGCCATTCCTCATTTTAATGGTTCTTTTTTCCCTTGCTCAGGGTCACTGCAGTGACTTGTTGATATTTCAGACTCAACCTTACTCACTTCTCAGGTGAGTTGAGGCCATTGGCACATGGAATTGTGTAAATCGTTATGGCACGGTGCTTCTACATGTGGGTTTTAACTGTGTAATCCTACATCGACAGGTAAAATACGAAATTATCCTAGTAATATTTGAAACATGCCACATAAAGTGATCCATAGCAGGTTAAATACTGGTGCATTATACTCGCCTGCACATGCAGGCACAACATGTGCAGCAAACATGATAAGCTTTTATTATATGTTACTTTTTTGCCTTTAGGCTATAGACAATTTACTTAAATCTATTTTTTTCCTCCTTTTTTTTTTCTTTTGTTTTCCTTCTTCAGGTTGTGTCTTGACTGCATTGGTAAAAACACAACTCTCCTAAAGAACCAAATACCATACTTGCCATCCAAACTTCTGCAGCAAGTGCTGAAAAAAATAACCTTCTGGGCTGCAGTTAACCACCGGCAAGAGAAAAAAGCTGAGACTGAGAGACAGAGTCAACTCAGCACCACATGAACACTGGCAATAAAACTGTTGAACACTTGGGTTTATTCATGGCATACAGCAAGGTCTTTTGTTGGTGAACTTTACTAAAGCTACAGAACAACTGTATGTTAAGCTGAGTTTCTAAGTGAAGTTTGAGAACAAAGCAATCCTTTTTATGGAAATCTCGTTCATTTTCTGCATTATAGGAACTTGATAAAACTTTGTTTGTATATATTGTTAACTTCTGCTGTCATGGTCTTAATGAGACAGTCCATACAACTTGTTCTTTTTGAAGGAGACATGACACAAAATGTTTTCAGTTGGATAAAATAAAGCTTAAGACTAAAACTTTATGACAGCCTTATCGCATCAGCCTTTCTGAAGAGAGAAAGTTCGTTGAACATAGTACCTTTGGAAGACTCGTTGTCAGGCTTGAAAAAGGTAACTCATTTCCTAACACAACCAAATTGTATTGTTCGATTCCACCCAACTCTGTTACATGACCATCCAGTCAAATGGTGGAGCCAGATGTCTTGCTCCAAGTAGAAAAATCAGTAAGTTTAACTGTGGAACTTGAAGGAAAAGTTGCAACGTGCAGCATTGTCTGTCACATAGGAAAGCTTACATGCAGTTTGTAACATGGTTTTACTCTTTCTGTAATTGAGTCATTTTTAAAATAGGTTGTATATTGTATTTTGGATGTGTAAAGTTTCTATTTCATTCTTGTTTAAAAAATGCTTATTTATTGTTTAAAAAGAGCATATGTATTACTTGCTATTTTTGTTTCAACTATTTAGTTAACAGGAGCACAATCATTAAAATTTTATAGAGAGTTGAACCAGGACCAGTTTTGGTTAGTGTCTGAAGTTTTTACAGCCTGCACTGAGGAGAGGGGGTTTTTGAAACAAATTTGTAAAGGGGACTGTTGTGACTGGGTACTGTAGCACAGCTGTAATTTTATATGTGCTGAACTTTGGTATTCCTTCTGTGACTTATTTTAACAGAGGATTTATCGCTCGGTTAATTTCTCTTGACAAAGCACTACGCCACTCGCTGTTGCTCCCGGGGGGTAGGCGCGGCGGACGGGCCCCACCCCTGCCATCTTCCGCCGCAGGCTGGGGGTTACCGTCCCGCTGACGAGCCGCGCAGCACCGCGGTGCCTCGAGTCCCGGCTGCAGACGTGCTCGAGCTCCTCCTGTGAGCGAGCGGAGCTGGCGGCCGCGCTACACAAGCCCCGCGACAGGGCCCCGGCCGCGTCGACGCCTGCGTGGCGTTGCCGGAAGCGGCCGGCAGCGGCGGATGTTGACGCTGCGCGGCCCCGCTGAGGTGAAGTGGGAGGGAAGGAGCGGGTGGCGGCGTCGTCCTGCCTGCAAGCAGCCCGTGTCCCGCCGCGGTAGGGCCCGGGATCGGGATGGGGATGGGGATGGGGATGAGAGGGGAGGCGGCTCGGCAAGGCGGCAGCGGGCTGTGGGGCGGGGGGGGCTCAAACCTCGGCAGTAAGCGACAAGGGCTGGAAGGCTGTTAACGGGTCTGCTAAGTGCGGTGGTGGCGCATTGCTGGGCGCGGCGGGGCTGCTGATCGGGTCGGGTCCTGTGTTACGGCTATGTCCCGACATGTAACGTGTATCCGGACTGCCGCAGGAGACCGCGGAGATCTGGCCTGCCGGGCTGTCGTGGGTAGCCGGGGGGAGCTGCAGTGGCTTGTGAGAAGCGTTTCAAGTACGGGACAAAAAAATGGTTAGAAGCGGGCAGTTGTCCCGTGTGTCTTAGGTTGTTAAAAGATAAAAAGTGAAAAATAGGCAATGCTGATCGCTGGGGAGGATGCAGTAAAAATCCGGCTAACTTGAAGCAGACGGATTTCATTGAGGTGTGGCTAAGGCTTTCTAATTTAAACCGTAATTAAAGCTCAAAAATAAACTACCGAGGGTGGTGCAGTGTCTCCATCATCAGAGCGGTTCAAATTAAATGAAAATCGGTCGGGAGCAGTGTAGGTGTCGAGGATTTTGTGCGAGTGCGGGGCTTGATAGTCTCATTAAAGGCCTTTCCACTTCTCTTGCTTTGCCTGGTTGAACAAAACCATTCCTTTGGGCTGTCCAGCTTCCCCGGCCTTTTGATTTCTGCCTGAAAATCTTTGTGTGATGATGGTTTGAGCTCACAGCTGCAGGAAAGCTAAAACAGGCACTTGAGAGTGGCTCATAAGTGGAAGATGACTGGCTTTTCAGGGATCCCCCTGCTCCATTGCAGGTTGAGCATGCAGGCAGCTCCCAGGATGACCTGGCAGGGATGACCAGCATCTCCTGGCTTGATTCCTCCCACAGCTGGGGCTCTGAATTACCGGCAACCTGATGACAGTGTGGCCCTGGGGCTCCTCACGTGCCAGAGCCCTGGCGTGGCGGCTGCTTTTGCCCCTAAGCTGCACAGTGCTCAGCAGCCACAGGCTGAGTGCACATAGCTTATTGTCTTTCCAGGACGCTCTGTGTTTGGTCTTCTGCATGCTGGCATGATTTCGACCACGGGCCTTTGTTTTGTGTTGGGTTTTTTTTCAGCGTAGGTAATATGACCTGCGTTCAACAGCTATGGGAAGACGTGGGTGTGGGACACTTGGCTGAAGCAGCCCTAAAGGACTTTGTCTGAAATGCTGCAGGAGTTTTCACTTTTGTGAAAACCATATTTCAAGTTTATTCGAGTGTGGGTTGGTTGAGTTTTTTTGTTATTGACTAATGAATTTATAGATAAGTGTGTTTTTAAAAACAGATAGAGACCTTGGCTCAAATTGGCAACTGAAACTATTATAAATTACACACAGCTGAGGAATCCCCATCTGAAACTTTCTTGACCTGTAGGATAACTTCTTCCACCAAAACATCACTGTGAAAGAAACAGCAGTGTGTAGTTTACCTTTTTTCCTCTAGTGGTTTCCCCTGATGACTTTTAGAGCCCCATATTATGCGTTATTCTGTGCCCATAGCACTGCATCGAGATGGCTGATGATAACGAAGACCTGCAGGCAGATGAAGAGCTTCCAGCTCCAGCTGAGGACAGCTTTGAGCAGCTGGAGAACGACAGCCCCGCTGAGCGCAGTGGGCACGTGGCAGTCACTGATGGGCGCTGCATGTATGTCTGGGGAGGCTATAAGGTATGCTGTAAGCCGCCTACCACCCACAGTGCTGGTCATTATCTCCCATTAGTTTGGGAGTGACTGTAAAATTATCTCTCCCCTGGAGAAGAAAAGCTCCAGTTAACAAATTAGAATATGACATTTAAGAGTTTGAAATACTGAAATAAATCATGTTAAATGTAGATCTTGGCAAATGGTTAACTTAGGTGGAATGAAGGGTGTTGTTTGCCTTTGTCAACTCACATGTCTGTTGGAAGAATCATGGAATCAACTTGGTTGGAAAAGACCTTTAAGATCATCAAGTCCAACCGTTGCCCCAGGACTGCCAAGACTACCACTAAATCGTATCACTGAGTACCTCATCTACACAGTTTTTGAACTCTTCTAGGGATGGTGATGGCACCACTGCCCTGAGCAGCCTGTTCCAATGCCTGGTTACGCACTCTGTGAAGAAATGTTTCCTATTATCCAATTTAAACCTCCCCTGGCACAGATTGAGGCTGTTACTTCTTGTCTTATTGCTTGTTACTTGGGAGAATAAACCAACCCCCACCTCACTACAACCTCCTTTCAGGTAGTTCTAGAGAGCAGTAAGGTCCCCCCTGAGCCTTCTCTTCTCCCTAAGGCTAAACAACCCTACTTCCCTCAACCATTCTTCATCAGACTTGTGCTCTGGAGCCTTCACCAGCTTTGTTACCCTTTTCTGGACATGCTCCAGCACCTCAATGTCTGTCTTGTAGTGAGGGGCCAAGAGCTGAACACAGTGCTTGAAATGCAGCCTCACCAGTGCCAAGTACAGGGAGACAATCACTTCCCTGGCCCTGCTGGCCACACTATTTGATACAGGCCAGAATGCTGCTGGGGCCTTCTTGGCCACCTGGGCAGAAGCTGGATCATTTTCAGTGGCCATCAGTGAGGACCCTTAGGTCCTTTTCCACCAAGCAGCTTTCCAGCCACTCTTCCCCCTGCCCGTAGTGTGGCATGGGGTTGTTGTGGCCCAGATGCAGGACCCAGCACTTTGCCTTGCTGAACCTCAAGAAGGGAATGAAAAGAAGGGAATGCTGTCTGATTTGAAATGCACACCATGCAAAGTGGTGCTTTTATTTACAGCATTATCTGCACAACTGTATATTGCATGTTAGTGCTCACAGGTCGGTTGTTTATCATGATGGGTGTGCATGTACTGCAAGCAGAATTAAGTCATTTTATGATTTTGACACAAATGAAGATGAATTATCAATTAATTTGGCAAATAAATTGGTAGCTCAAGACCAAGCTTTGGTGTATTCTGGTGGTGTCATACAGGGGGTGGGAGAATTAAAAAGGGAATTGTAGCTCATTTATACACCTTAGTTATCCTGTTTGGGCTATGAAAAGGAGATTTAACTTCCATTTACCTTAGTCTCTGGCTCTGGTGGGAGCTTATCTGTTCCACAGCAGAAGCTAAAACATACTAATACCTGCTCTCCAAGGGCTGCTGTTCAGGTGAGAGGTACAGAAATGCGGCAGGCACTGCTCCTGTTGCTTTCTGTTCTGTGATTAGATCTCTGAGAGGGTGTAAACATTCACAGGGATCTGTAATTCAGTATGTCAGGCATTCCTCTGATGTTGCTTTTCTGGTGTGTTCTGCAGAATGCCCAAGTTAGGGGATTTTATGACTTCTATCTGCCTAGAGATGAAATATGGATCTACAACATGGAAACTGGAAGATGGTACAGTAAATAATTCATTTAATTGTTGATTATATGGGGGGAAAAAAAAAAAGGATAAATTCTTAAATCAGTATAGAAAGCATGCTGAGGGCCTGAACAGAGAGAATTCCCTGATCAGTTTGTTCCCACCTGTAAAATAGTTGTATAAATGTGTAAAGCAACACGTTTTTCATGGGGTGAAGTAGGAGAGGCAGCTTGGACAGGGTGTTCAACAGTGTGAAGTGTTTCGGGGTGCCTGGGATAGTACCTGAAAGTGGCATTTGTACCACTTTTGATTACAGTGGTATATTGGTGAGGGAATCCATATTGAGTTATTTATTTTTTTGTCCTTTTAAGGAGGAAAAAAAAAAACACCTTAGATTTTAATACATGTTTTCAAATGTTGATGCAGCAAAAAAAACTACTGTGTCAGCTTAGATCATTGGGAGCCTGAAAGTTGTGTGAAACTTGCATGCCTGATAGAGTGAGAAAAGGGAATCCAGTGCCCCAGTTCCATAGCTAACCAGGGCCTTGATCTGTAAAGCCAAGTCCCCTCTGTGCTTTGCAGCACATGGTTTCAGCAGTGCTTCCAGTTCTCGTTGTGGTTAGGAAGAGCCTGGGATAGGGGCTGGAAGTTTATCTTTGTGGTTACCATGTTTACAAACATTAAAAATCCAGTAGCAAAATGGAAACTTTCAGTTTGAACAGGGGCATCCTCTTTGCCTGAGAATCTTTTGGGGGATTTTGAATGTGCAAGGCATACCAAAGCCCTGAACGGGGCAGTTGGAGCTCCTCCCCCACAAAACATGCAGTAATTACATTGCCTTTTCCCACCTCCTTCATCATACTAGGTCAGTGTTGGGAATTGTCTGCGAAGAACTCAGAACTAAGTGGTCTGCAGTGTCCTACTGTAACTAAAAACATACTGGTAGTGTTATAAAAGTTCCCCCCAGATAAAATGATTGCTGTTTGTTTTTATCAGGTAAAATATTTTAAACTGTTCTTCTAGGAAGAAGAGTAAAACAGAGGGAGATGTTCCTCCTTCCATGTCTGGAAGTTGTGCCGTGTGTGTAGACAGAGTGGTGTACCTCTTTGGAGGACATCACGCACGTGGCAATACAAACAAGGTGAGTTATTTAAAGATAAACCCCTCCTCACAAGTAAGCTCCTCCTCATTAGCTTTTGTTCCCATTTTTTTTCCAAACAGAGGTGGCCTTTTCAGTTAGTTAAAATCCATCCAAAGCAAGAAATTTATAATCTTAACAACGGAAACATTTTTTACCAAATGACTGGACAGTTGGGTCTTGTTGTAGAGCTTAAATGTTAATAGCAGGGGATGCTGAGCATATATCCAGTCACTGTCCTCCCTGGCTTCTGCAGCATGATAGTTTCATCTACTGGCGGTATCTCTAGTTCTTGGAGGCAGATAACGAGCCTTCTCATCCTGTCAGCAGCTTCCCCAGATGTAAACTAATAGAAGCTGTATTCTTTTTGTGGTTGCCTAAGAGGTTTTGATTTAAAAAAACAGTACTAACTGCTTGGATTTATTTTATTTTCCATGCAGGTGATTAACTGGCTGACTTTTATCATTTCAGTGTATTAACTTCTCTGGTCAGATAATATGACGTTTGTATAACAGGTCAGCCTTCAGCTGTGCATCATTTCATGAGGATTGTACTCTGGTAGCTTTACACTGCTGAAGAAGTACCATGACCTACTAGTTATTTTGATTGCAGTTGTTCTTGTGCAATTCACACTATAAACTGTATTGCATTGGCACTTTTGAGTTTACTTCTTTTGAAAGATGGGAATTTCCAAAGTTCAACAAAATAGTATCAGGCAGTGATCTGTAACTGGTCTGTAGTTTGAAATGTTATTCTCTGGAGTCTCTGATAATATTTTCTGATGTTCTAGAAGTGTGGTTTAAATTAAATAGTTCTGGCCTTGCTCTTAAATATAAACTGAAAGTAGCTTGATGCAGTGCCTGCAAACAGTCTGAAACAAGCTACATTTAGAAAGTGTGACTTGCTTTCTTCCTGCTGTCATATTTTTACATTTCAGTTATTTTATATATGTATTTTATATCAGCTATTTTGCTCCACGTAAAATGATGTAACACGCAGAGATGATACAATTAAAACCATATTTTTTTTAACCAGATTTTGTAATTGTAAGACAAGTGCTACTTTGTACACATGTTCATTGTATCCCATGTCCGGTTTTGGATGGTAAAACCCGATGTCCATAGCCCTGTTACTTCTATGAAGTGTTGGGGGCTTGAGTCTGCGAAAAGATAAGGGGTTTTGGATCCATATTTTGTTCCAAATGTTATCAGTGCTCTGTGCAGCTAGGAAAAGAACTTTTAATTTATATAATTATGTACCAGTACATGCTAATTAAAAGTTAGTATTTTAACATCAATCAGATTAAAGCTTTAAGCTAACTGTGTGTGTAAAAAAAAATTCTTTCTGTTTTCCACAGTTCTACATGTTAAATTCCAGATCCACGGACAAAGTGCTGCAGTGGGTCAGAGTAGAGTGTCAGGGGGTACCCCCTTCTTCAAAGGACAAACTTGGCGTTTGGGTTTACAAAAACAAGTAAGGCTCCACTAGCAAAGTCATCACAGCTGTACTTGCATGCGTGGTTGCTTTTAATTGCTCTCAGTTTTGTCACTGTCATGTCTTTGTGTGAGCAAGAGCTGCAGAAGCACTTGTCTGCAGCACATGCTCCAGGAAGATGCTGGATTTCTTCCCCGACCAGCCTCTTTAAACTGTTGCATCCTTTAATGGTTAATACGCAAAAAACCTCACTCCCAGTTTGGGTACGTGTAAGCTGCAGAGTCTCTGTGTGAGTCACAGTCCAAACTGTAGGCTTTTCCCAGCAAATCTTCCACAGCACATTCTCAGTACATTGCTTTAAAGTCACTGCCTTGTATCAGCATCATTCCTCTTGGCAATTGCATCTGGAATAATTACTCTTCACAGAATCCTGTTCTAGGATTTCCCATGTCACACAGGGTGCAGTCTTTTGGTTGCGTCTTACAGGACAGCTTGCATTTCTCTGATGATTGAAGAGCAGGAAGCCATCTTTATCTCAAAATTGCATGTGGCTCTTTCAGCAATGCACATGCTTAATTCAGTGCGTTTTGTGCTGGTTGCACAAAACAAGAAATGTGTTAGATGAGTTGCTGTGGATGTTACCTACTCCAGCCCTGCCCTGCCAAGCACACATCTCCACAGTGACCATGCCTAAGTGTAATGCTTTCCCTTTGCTTCTTATGAGGGGTGTCTGTGAACACTGTGGGTTTAGGGAATATGGGCAGAGAGCTTGGAAAGGGTGCAGTTGGGAAGCAACAGTAATAAACCCCTGTAGTTGCTGTGTGGGAGCCCTGGCTGAAGATCAGAAACCAGCCAGCAGGCCTGGTAGCTTCACATGTTTGGAACCAGAGCAAAGCTTGGAAGCCTGAGGCCGGGGAAACAGCTGTAAAGGGATTTATTGTGGGTGGTAGGGTCGATTAGGCAAGAAACAGGGCCCCACACCTGGAAAACCTACGTGGCAGACATACTGGAAGTAATGAAGCTAAAGGAGCTTCCCTGGTTTTCCTGTCTTCTCTTAGAGCACAACCTTTACAGAACTTTTAACTTGTAGCAACAGATGTAGTAGCATTTCTAATTGGATTCATGTTTTGTTGCAGGCTAATATTTTTTGGAGGCTATGGTTACTTTCCTGAAGGGAAACAACGGGGAACTTTTGAATTCGATGAAACCTCTTTTTGGGTAGGTAAACCTGGAAATAATTTCTATTTAAACTTTAATATTTAATTAGTGCTTATTAAAACTTGTTGCTTATTTAATATTTTTAAAGAATTCAGGTCTTCCTAGAGGGTGGAACGACCACGTGCATGTTTTGGACACTGAAACTTTTACTTGGAGCCAGCCTATAACTACGGTAATCATTAATCTTGTATTAGTTAAGTCTTACAACTCGTCAGAGCATTCTGCGCCTTATCTCTTGCAGTATCCTGTGAAAATAAGCACAGCTCTGCTAGGCCTAGGTTCACTGCTTTAATTTGTGTCAAGTGAGAGCAGCATGCTGATAAAATGGTCTCTTCATGTAGCTGTGCAGGGTTTGTAGTGGCCTGTCCCAGCCACAACGACTTTGGGCTACAAATGCAGTGTGAAGCTGTCTTAACCTGTTGTATCTCATTGTGGGGGTACTGTCTCTAGTCTATATCTCCCTGGCATTATTTGGAAGATGTGATTACCTGTTCATCTCAAAATATATTTCTCCTGCTTTCCTCTTCCACCCTGCAGCTGTGTTGACAGGTTGCCCGTGTGTTAACTGCCGAATATTTACTTGTCAGGTGCTCTGCGATCCTGCCTTCTTTGGAATATAAACTAGTCCCTGAATGCCAGAAGCTGGTGAGGCACTGGAACAGGTTGCCCAAAAAAGTGGTGACTGCCCCATCCCTGGCAGTGTTGAAGGCCAGGTTGGACAGAGCCTTGGGTGACATGGTCTAGTGTGAAGCATCCCTGCCGATGGCAGGGGGTTTGGAACTATATGGTCCTTTCCAACCCTAACCATTCTGTGATTCTATGGAAGAACTCTCTGAAATACATAGTGCTAGCTAGCAGGAGAATGTGAGAAATGCCTTGCAGGTCATCAAATCCTAGAATCAACTAGGTTGGAAAAGACCTTTAAGATCATCAAGTCCAACCTTTACACTAGGACTGCCAAGTCCACCTTATTGTGTCATGAGATGTCTGACAACTCCACAAGCAGGCCATGTGGAGCTGATCTTGTCTCAGTGATGCTTGCTCAGTGTGTTTTTTCCATGGGATGAATCACAGGCCACTTGCCATGGCTGGTGGGAAGCAGCACTGCTGGCTCATGCTGCACTGGTTTGCCTCCTGAGACCTGCAGTCTGTCTGATCCAAACAGGAGATGAAGCTTAGGACTCTGTGACTAGGGCTCTCTTTCCTTCTTGTGCTTCCTGAGCAAGTTATCTTAATTCTGTAATTAAGGGAATTATTTTTTTTACATATGTAAGTATATATATAATATATATATATATATATATATACCTTGATATCTTGTCAGCGCTGTGGGACTGTTCATTTCTTTCCTGAGTATGGACTGGGTGAGGTGCCATCAGCCAGTGTTTGCAGTGTTACATGTAACGTGCTTGTAGGGGAAGGGATGTTAAGAAAGTGTTTGAAACACTGTTGGTAGAACTAGCATTGGAAACATCCTCTCAAAATAAAAATCACGTGCTGCCTATTCAGTATTCCTGAACATGCTCAGAGGGCTGGAGCATCTCTCCTGTAGAGACGAGCTGAGAGAGCTGGGGTTGTTCACCTTGGAGAAGAGAAGCAGCCTTCCGTTACCTAAAAGGGCCAACTCGAAGTCTGGAGAGGGACTTCTGATGTTTAGGGATACGACAGGGGTGAATGGCTTTAAATTGACAGAGGGGAGATTTAGGTTACATATTAGGCAGAAGTTCTTCCCTGTGAGGGTGGTGAAGTGCTGGCACAGGTTGCCCAGGGAAGCTGTGGCTGCTGCATCCCTGGCAGTGTTCAGGGCCAGGTTGGACAGGGCTTGGAGCAACCTGGTCTAGTGGCAGGTGTCCCTGCCTGTGGCAGGGGTTGGAACTGGATGAGCTTTAAGGTCCTTTCCAACCCAAACCATTCTGTGAGTCTATGATTCTTGAGGCCATTTAGACTTAATTTAAACCATTTTTTTTTACCTAGATCTTCTCTCCAAACTTGCCTTTTATTTTTATATGTCTCTCTTCATCTTTTTTCCTGTTGACTTGCTTGCTTTCATGCTTCAGTGGTATTGTGCTTGCAGGGAGCTCAAGAAAATGAAGTGTGTTGTTTCCTGACGTCCTCATTGTAATGTGATGGTTTGGTACATTTCACAGAATCATAGAATCATAGAATAGTTAGGGTTGGAAAGGACCTTAAGATCATCTAGTTCCAACCCCCTGCCATGGGCAGGGACACCTCCCGCTAAACCATGTCACCCAAGGCTTTGTCCAACCTCGTCTTGAGCACTGCCAGGGATGGAGCATTCGCAGTCTCCCTGGGCAACCCATTCCAGTGCCTCACCACCCTAACAGTAAAGAACTTCTTCCTTATATCCAATTTAAACTTCCCCTGTTTCAGTTTTAAGCCATTACCCCCTGTCCTATCACTACAGTCCCTAATGAAGAGTCCCTCCCCAGCATCCCTATAGGCCCCCTTCAGATACTGGAAGGCTACTAAAAGGTCTCCATACAGCCTTCTCTTCTCCAGGCTGAGAACTTTCCAGCCTGTGTTCAGACAGGAGGTGCTGAGAACAGCCCCAACTTCCTCAGCCTGTCTTCATATGGGAGGTGCTCCAGTCCCCTGATCATCCTCATGGCCCTTCTCTGGACTTGTTCCAGCAGTTCCATATCCTTTTTACGTTGAGGACACCAGAACTGCACACAGTACTCCAGGTGAGGTCTCACGAGAGCAGAGTAGAGGGGCAGAATCACCTCCTTCAACCTGCTGGTCACGCTCCTTTTGATGCAGCCCAGGATACCATTGGCTTTCTGGGCTGCAAGCGCACACTGAAGCCTGCTCATGTTCAGTTTCTCATTGACCAACACCCCCAAGTCCTTCTCTGCAGGGCTGCTCTGAATCTCTTCTCTGCCCAACCTGTAGCTGTGCCTGGGATTGCTCCCACCCAGGTGCAGGACCTTGCACTTGGCATGGTTAAACTTCATGAGGTTGGCATCAGCCCACCTCACAAACATGTCAGGGTCCCTCTGGATGGCATTCCTTCCCTCCAGGGTATCAACCGAACCACACAGCTTGGTGTCATCGGCAAACTTGCTGAGGGCGCACTCAATCCCACTGTCCATGCCACCAACAAAGATGTTGAACAGAACTGGTCCCAACGCCGATCCCTGAGGGACACCACTCGTTACTGGTCTCCAGCCGGACATTGAGCCATTGACCACAACTGTTTGTGTGCAGCCATCCAGCCAGTTCTTTATCCACCGAGTGGTTCATCCATCAAATTGATGTCTCTCCGATTTAGAGACAAGGATGTCGTGTGGGAGAGTGTCGAACGCTTTACACAAGTCCAGGTAGATGACATCAACTGCTCTACCCCTGTCCATCAGTTCTGTGCCCCATCATAGAAGGCCACCACATTGGTCAGGCAGGATTTCCCCTTAGTGAAGCCATGCTGGCTGTCACCAAGCACTTTGTTGATTTTCATGTGCCTCAGCATGCCTTCCAGGAGAATCTGCTCCAAGATTTTGCCAGGCACAGAGGTGAGACTGACTGGTCTGTAATTCCCCAGGTCATCCATTTTCCCCTTCTTGAAAATGGGGGTTATATTTCCCTTTTTCCAGTCATCAGGAACTTCACCTGACTGCCAGGATTTTTCAAATATGATGGCCAGCGGCTTCACAACTTCATTTGCCAGCTCCTTCAGGACCCGCGGATGGATTTCATCAGGTCCCATGGACTTGTGTATGTTCAGGTTTTTATGTTGGTCTCGAACCAGATCCTCTCCTACAGTGGGCCCAAGGTCTTCATTCTCACAGTCCCTGCGTCTGCCTTCCAAGACTTGGGTGGTTTGGTCAGAGCCTTTGCCAGTGAAGACCGAGGCAAAGAAGTCATTCAGAACCTCAGCCTTCTCCAAATACAGGGTAGCCAGTTCTCCTGAGAGCTTCCTGAGGGGCCTGCGTTGTCCCTAGTCTGTTTTTTATTCGCTGCGTACGTACAGAATCCCTTCCCGTTATCCTTAACATCCCTAGCCAAGCTTAATTCTAACTGGGCTTCAGCTTTCCTAACCTGGCCCCTAGCTTCCTGGACATCCTTGTATTCTTCCCAGGCCACCTGTCCTTGCTTCCACCTTTTATAAGCCTATTTTTTCCTTCAAATTTTTCTCAGCAGCTCCTTATCCATCCAAGGAGGTCTCCTGGCCCTCCTGCTGCACTTCCTTCTGGTTGGGATGCAGCACTCCTGAGCTTGTAGCAGGTGATCCTTGAGTCTTGGGCCCCCCTGCCCTCTAGGGCTGTATCCCATGGAACCTTCCTAAGCAGGTTCCTGAAGAGGCCAAAGTCTGCTCTTTTGAAGTCCAGGGCAGTGAGCTTGCTGCACACTCTTCTCACTGTCCTGAGGATCTCAAATTCAACCATCTCATGATCGCTGCATCCAAGGCTGCCCTGGAGCATCACATTTCCAACCAGCCCTTCCCTGTTGGTGAGCATGAGGTCAAGCATGGCACCTCTCCTTCTCGGCTCCTCTGTTACTTGCAGAAGGAAGTTGTCTTCCACACAATCGAGGAACCTCCTGGATTGCTTGTGCCGGGCAGTACCGTCCTTCCAACAGATGTCAGGGTGGTTGAAGTCTCCCATGAGAACAAGGGCCTGTGAGCATGAGGCTTTTCCTGTCTGTCTGTAGAGTGCTTCATCTGCAGGTTCCTCTTGATCCAGGCGGTCTGCAACAGATGGGAGCTGAATTGTGGTTGAAACAAAACACCCTGTAATTGCAAATATACACCATTTGAAGTGTCCCAGAAGTGTTCAGGAACAGGCAAATGGAGTGACATTGCCATAGAATTGGAGGAAGTTAAATTTGAGATAAGTTACTCCTCATTCAGATTACCAAAGAATTCTTTTGTCTTGCTATCTACAGATCTCAAATATTTTAGAAGTAACTCAAGAAAAATACTGTGTAGCGATTTATTGTGTCATTTTCTCACAGTCTGTTACTGTGACTGACTGAACCCTGTTCCAAAAGCAAAATTAATACCTCGACACTTAAAGAGGAAAAATAAAATCCCATTTCTCATGAGTTTTCTGATCTTCCATCCATCAAAAAAAAAGCAAGTTTCTGCACACAGAATGACTTATTAGATGGTTTTTTACTCTCTTCTTGGCCTTATGTCTGACTTTAGTTCAGCCTTTCATCCCTCGGGTGGCTGGTTGTGGAGCTCTGAGACCTTCCTTTGCCTTGCTCGCCATGGCCAGGTGATCTCTCCAGGGAGCCTGAGAGGAGCCTGAGCCCTCCGTGTCTGCTGCTGTCTGCTGCTGTCTGCTGCTGTCCGCTGTCTCCCAGGGTGCCTGGCATGGCATGTGATGGGTTTCTTCAGCCCAGCTCCTCTTGATTCCATCTACTGCAGGTTTCTGATGAAATGGCATTTTCTTTCTTATGTATCAAATAAATTTACCTTCTTATTTCATGTTTTGTTTTCCCAGGGTAAAACTCCATCACCACGAGCAGCTCACGCCTGTGCTACAGTTGGGAACAGAGGCTATGTGTTTGGTGGCAGATACAGGGTAAGCCCTAACCCAGTTACTGATGTGTTACTGAAACGTAAGCAGTGTTTCAGCTGTGGTCTGCTTTATTGTAGGAATCCAGAATGAACGATCTTTACTATCTGAATTTGGATACATGGGAGTGGAATGAAATGTAGGTACTAAAACTTGAGTTAATTTGTTTGTAAAGCAACATGAAGGTGCCATTTTTACTCACTTCTAATCAATCTAGTTAAATGTGATAAACTCAGGTAGAACTGATCCTGCTGATGAGGCTGTCAGGCTTTTTTAAGTATTAATGGGGGTAAAATTCTTTTACTGTATCTAAAGACATTAAACTCATAAAACATGAGCATGGTGTGAAGCTGCATCCTTGAAATATCTGAAACATAATCAGAGCAGAAAGGAGCAGCAGTATTTTATTGTAGCACATATATGTAATTTATGGTGCTTTTATTAAATGCAGAATCACACAAGGCATTTGCCCAGTTGGCCGATCATGGCATTCTTTAACACCAATTTCCTCGGATCACCTCTTTCTCTTTGGAGGATTCACCACTGACAAGCAGCCGTTAAGTAAGTTGTTCCAAAAGGATTTTGTGTTGTCTTTGTGTATGTGAGCAGTTGTGCACAGTAGCTGAATTACTGCCTTGTCACCTTGAATTCTTGCTGAATTCCTCACATCCACTTGTGATCCAGCTCCTTGCTGTCAACAGTTCATTTCACAGAGCAGAAGTCACTGAGTGTGCTGAAACATTATTATATATAGGAATTCATCTGCTCTAAAATTGTATCTAATGCAAATTACTGTTAGTAAGAGCTTTACAGTTCTCTGTTTTCCCTTCTGACTTCTCTCCCATAAACCACTATTAAGCGCCTGTTTTCAAACAGGTAGCCCACTATTTTGTATGTTTTTTCCTAAAATACTGTCTTTTGTTCTTTAAGAACAAAAATGGACTGTGTTGCACCAGAGTACATGTTACTTGCCGCAAACATGAAAGAACTAACAGAATGCTGTTTGTGTTTGGGGTTTTGCTTGTTTTCAGGTGATGCTTGGATATACTGCATCAGCAAGAATGAGTGGGTACAGTTTGAGCATAACTACTCTGAAAAACCAAGGTACAGTAGACAATCCCCTGGAAACTTACTGAAAGAGAGTGAGGAAGCATGTAATGTTGGCTGTCAAAGAGAGGACACATGTTCCTTTTCACAGCACTCATTGTTCTTAACAACACAATACTAATGCTCGTATCTGCCCCAGAAGTGCAGGTATGTTGGTTGTATGCAGGTTGTATTTTGTGCACATAAAATACAAGATGAATACTGCTATAGGGCTGGTGCTGGCAGTAGTGTGTAGCTCAGTGTTTGTGCAGTAGCAAGAAACAAAGGGATTTAGGGGCTAATCTCTGCTGCCAAGGCCTCTGAGTTGTTCCATCTAACTGGAACCCGTGTGTTCTTGCTCTGCCTGCAAACTGGACATGGGCAGGTGTCATTATTTTTAGCATCCTTGTTAGAGACTAATCCTGTGCATGCCCAGGATGTTTTTGTCTTCCTGCTGAGTAAATGAGAGATGATGACCTGCAGTTTAAAACCATCAAACTTACTGTGATGCACATATGTGGCATGGAAAACACTCACGTCATGTGAGTTACTGTGAAGGTTTGAGGAAGTGTTCTGATCAAGGTTAACTGGGTTAAAGCACTGACACTTCCTGGTCTGCCTGCTTTGGCCTTGCTCTGGCTGCTGGCAGGGATGAGGAGGGTCTGTTTTCCTGGACAGTAACAAGGTTGAGCTGCTGCCCCCACACCTGCCCTTCCCCTCTTTGGAACAGTGGGATGGTGCCGTGTTGTTACTGAGCATATGTACAAAATTAGCTCTTTCCCCAAGTCTTAGGAGAGCATTACAAAATCTGACTGATCCTGCTCGCTCTGTCTTCTGGCTCAAGTGGGACATGAAAATGAAGTTTGCACCAGCAGCTCATCGCAGCCATCCTGTAGAAGCCACAGGACCATTGCTGTCATGCATGCCTGCACTGGCAGGCACATGCTGCTGAGCGTCACAGCCCAGCTCAAACCAGAACACGTTATATAACCCGTGTTTTGCTGACCACTGTTCCTTCTCCAAACATAAACTCCTGTTGAATTAGTCACGTCTCCGGTGCACTGGTGGAGGGGCAACCTCACGTGATAACTTTAACTACAAATCCTACGCAGGCATTGTTGGGTGGGGTTGATTTTTGCCTTAATGCAGTCCTGACCTCTGTTTCTAGGTTGTGGCATACTGCTTGTGCAAGCGAAGAGGGAGAGGTGATCATCTTTGGGGGCTGTGCGAACAACTTACTTGCCCATTCAAAAGCTGTAAGTTTATTTTGAGCTTTTCCTTCCTGTGCAGCCTGGTCCTGCCCGCAGGAGCTGCAGTCTTACCACAGCACCAAGTGTAAAAGGCTTGCAGTCAGCCGCATGATCTTGTGAGGACTGACAAAAGTGCATAAACGGAGCTTGAAAGGAAAATGTTTTTCTGCTTTTCTAGCAACCACATCATTATTTAAACAAACCATGACTTACTTTCCCTCCTACCTCCCAACTACATCTTCAGCTTTGCCCTGTGCTTCTCATGTGAGTGTTTTCAGGGACCCCCTCCCAAGGTAATTTCTTCAGTGCGCTGCATGCAGAGAGGCCTGGTGGGGGAGAAACAGCCTGAAGAGAAGGGGACTCTTAAGCCAGGCTGGGACTGTCCTGAGATTGTGGAAACACCAGCTGGCTAGAGAGGGAGGCTGGGAATGAGTGTGCCAGCACCTTGCAGTGTATGTACCAGTGTGCATCAGCTGGAGTAGGCAGGTGGCAAACAGCAGTGGTGCAACACCTCCTCCTGTGCTGGCAGCACTGCTGTGGCACGCGATAGGTTTATGTGCATTCAGGGAGCAGGCACAGCCATTTAAAAATGCCAAAACCATTGACTTCTGAGCCCAGTACAGTCCCCGTCTCTAAAGTCCCTCTGTGCAATTCCATGAGGACTTGGAAACTGCCCACAGTGTTCCATTCTCTCCCAGCACAAGTTGAAGCTGCACAGGGAGAGTGTCTGACTCTGGCCCCTTTGTGCATCCACTCTCCTCCAGCTGTCTGTATGAGGCAGCCTAGATATGTTTTTTTATTCGCCTGTAGTTCCCCTAGTGCCTTTATCTTCCCATATAGCAGTGAGCAGTTCTGCACTCAGCTTGTCTGCTGCCTTTGTGATCTGTGTAAAGCCCACTGCATGCCCCATTGCCTCCCTTTCCAGGGTCTGTTTGTGTGAGCCTCATCTGTTGGCTCCTGCTGTAGTGATGTGAATCCACATAACCAAACTGTTTCTCTCCCTCCCACCCCCAGGCTCACAGTAATGAAATACTTGTGTTTTCCCTACAACCAAGATCTCTTGTAAGGTAAGTGTCACGGTTTAAACCGAGCCAGCAGCTCAGTACCATGCAGCTGTTTGCTCACACCCTCCCCTTTACCCCCGTCCTGGGTGGGATGGGAGAATTGGAAGAATGTAAAACCCACAGGTTGTGTCAGGTGTGCTGTCTCTGCTCCCTCCCAGCTTCTCATGTTCCCCCCTCACTGGCAGAACATGAGAAACTGAAAAGTCCATGATCAGGGTAAGCATTATTTATCAACAACTAAAACCTTGGTGTGTTATCACAGAATAGTTAGAGCTGGAAAGGACCTTAAGATCATCTAGTTCCAAGCCCCCCTGCCATGGGCAGGGACACCTCCCACTAAACCATGTCACCCAAGGCTTCATCCAACCTGGCCATGAACACCGCCAGGGATGGAGCATTATCCAGCATTATTCTCAAACTAAAGCCAAAACACAGCACTGCACCAGCTACTAGGAAGAAAATTAACTCTATCCCAGCTGAAACCGGGAGAGTAAGAAAGCAAGACTTCAACATTAAACTGTCCTGTCTCCATCCAAGCCAGGTAGCGCAGGATTACTGCCTGTTTCTTGCATTCCTACAATACTTACTTAAAAAAGATTTCTTCCTCTAAAGCATGCTGAAAGGACAGCAGCCAGTTAGGAGCAGGCAGAGCAGGATGTCTTTCAGCAGCACACATGTGGCACTAATGATAAGAACAAGCCCTCATTAAACAGCTGTAAAGAATGAGCTTACCTTGCAGCCCTTGGTCACACTAACTGTGGCTGTGTCTTCCCTCTCCCAAGGCTGTGCCTCGAAGCAGTCATTTGTTTTAAGGAGATGCTGGCCAGTTCCTGGAATTGCCTCCCCAAGCACTTACTGCACAGCGTCAACCAGCGGTTTGGCAGCAACAACACCTCGGGCTCCTGAGCCCTCTGCAGACGTTGCTGACCAAGCTGTGTGTGGATGAGCAGCTCGAAGATGTAATAATTCTACCAAGTGTGGCAAACATTAAACCTGTATAGATTAAGTATCTTGAAGTGTGTTGTGTATTGTCATAGATAGTTGCTTCTTACCTTTTAAGTTGCATGTGAATGGCCTAGAGAGAACCTATTTTTGTGTAAAGATGTTTGCAATAAATGTATTTAATGCAAGTGGAGGTGTACCCTGTGCTTAAGCTACAACTAGTTCTGGGTTGGTCCACTTGAAGTATGTTTGAGGGCCAGGCCCAAGTGAGAAGATGGGGTGTGCACATGTGGAAACTTGTTACAGGGTCCCTAGTTAGGGACCCAAGGACACCACTGGTTGTGCAGGAAGTTCTGAAGCACACCATGACTGGTGGAGTTTTGCTTTAGTCTAGGCTGAAGATTGCAGTCCTGGCTTAGTCTTCAGTGTTAGGAAACTGCTTAATATTTTTGCCACAAATGCTTAAAGTCAGAGAAACAGAATTTGGAAATTGTATGTTGTCAGAGTTGATAGAACTGTCATAAACCTTGAGATGTTGGAACTAGATGATCTTAAGGTCCTTTCCAACCCTAACTATTCTATGATTCTATGTTGAAGCACCACTACTATGCTTGGTTGTAGTTTGGTATTTTTGGAACTCTTTGTTGTGGAACTTCAGTTGTGAACCTTAGGTAGCAGATATTCTGCCCTGAGAAGTGTAAGGCTTGAAGTGAAAGCGCCTGAGTCTGTTACTGGCTGCAGCCATGACCTGTGGAGCTCACCTGCAACTGGGACAGCCCAACAGACTTCAGTTGTGTAGAGGGACACTGAAAGTGGCTGTGGAGTGGGGTCAGCGCCTGCATTTGCCAGTGCGGTTCTGTCTGTCAGGAGCTCCAGGAGGTGACAGGGGAACAAGGAACAGGCTGTGCGCTGCTGTGGGGAAGGAGAACGATTGCAATCAATCATGTTTAAGCTGTCCTCAAAAAGAAATAATTAATTAAAACCTTTGACTTGTAGAAGAAAGTAATTCCTGTCCTGTAATTCCTGCGCTCGGTTCTTGTGTAGGCTTGAGCTGTTTTAAGTGTTCAGGGTGTTGCAGACTGTCAGACAAGCTGCAGCACCCTGCACAAGTCTGTTTCGCACCTTACGGGGGGGTGCTGATACAGCACACAGGCTTTATGCTGACCTTCCAGCTCTAGTTCTTCTTCCCCACCTCTTCCCTACTTCCCCAGGGGTGGTAATGGCACAGCACAGTCGGGCTGTGCCAGTGGGAGCAGGGGCTCTGGGACTGCTCCCAGCACCCACCACGTGTCGGCAGCCAGTGGCACGTTTTGGGTAAAATAAAAAGCATATTACACTGAAACTGTCCTACTCGCACTTAGAACCTCCAGTCACCCGTAGAGGAAAGTAGTGGATATGAGGAAGAAACTGAACAGCACCAAGCTTTGCTGCAGCAAACTGGGGGACTCCTTGAGATGGAGTGCTCAGCTCCAGCACTCGATGCGTCAAAGAACCAAGAGTGTGAGATCACATCACTGACCAAATGACAGCAATTTATTTGCATGTTTTTATGCTATTTGTATCGAGAGTCCATCCACTGCAACACAGGAACTGGTCCTCATCTGCCCGCTACCCCACAGGAGCTAAACTCAGTCCAGTCAATGGCAGTTGGGGTAGGTCTGTGTCCGTCTGTCCCACCTGCAGGTGCTGAGATTCTGACTGCACAACAGTGGCAGTTTAGTAGTGAGAAACCCAAGTAAGGAATCACTTCTTCTTCTTGTTCAGGAGATGCGGTGCAGACACTTTCACTTTGCCAGGAATATTCCTTGACAAATCGGTATCCTACAAAACATTAAACATGAGGAATTGCACACAGCAGCAAACCATTTATGGACATCTCCCTCAGCCCCAGTGCACTTCTAAGCTGGCTTGTGGGAGCTGATGGGCCTGTTCCTGTCAGCCTTCCCCCAATGAAAATACAGCTAATGTCAGGCTGCTGCTTTCTCATCACATTTTAGTGATGAAAGACTTTAAGAGTTTTATGTGCAGCTTCCATCCATCAGCTCCACTGGCAGAGGCTGGCTGGGTTGGCAGTTCCCTGGGCAGGACCTGGTCACGTCAAGGTCATTAAACATTAATTGTGGGTTTCTAGCAAAGCACCATGAAATACGGACATGAAGTCTTGCTGCTGTTCAAGGTTTCCAATCAGTGAACGGTTACAGGGCAGCAAGCAGCTGTAAAGAGTGCTCTAGGCTGCCTGATCCACAGGGATCGCTGATGTGAAAAACACCCGAGGATCGTGGTGCAAGCAACCAGCCAAACCCTAGGAGGAGAGCATGGCCAGGAGCCAGCCCTCTCTCCAGTGGCAGGCGTGGAAGCACTGCACACAGATGGCGCAAGTTTGAGAAGGAACTGGAGTAGAAGAGAACCGCACTGGGGGAGTGAAGATCTGCCTGAGCAGAGCAATGCCATGTTTACTTGGCCCATGGTAAGCATCTTCTGGGGGAGAGGGGCAGGCGAAAGCCCCTGGTGAGTGGCACAGCCAGACACTGCTTCCAACCATGCCCAGCTGAACTCCCAGCACGAGCACCTGCCCGTCCAACACACTACCACAGGAGTGGGAATTTCCCCTCCCATAACTAGAGGCCTTTATGGAAGATGATGCTGTTACCAGTTGTGTTATTTTAGATTAAGAGCAACACAATAAAGAAAACTTAATGCCCAATGATAGAGGTGAGGCTCAACTTCTACTGATCCTTCCCAGCCAAAGCAGTGCATCTTCCCCTGCAGTACTGAGAAACACAATGCTGCTAAAAAAAAAAAATCCAAGCAACCCAAAACAATAGAACACTTGGTTTTGGAAGTATTTACCCCCAGAACAGTACTAGTCGATAGTTTGCTGCTGCTATTTGTATAGAGAAACTATGTAGAAAAACTTGTCACCTTTACGCTGCGGAACAGGTCTTTTTCTCTTGTACTAGCTTCTTTGGATTGCATAAAATTATGCAAGGCAATCTTTGCAGCTGTAAAAGCATAGGAAAGATTTAAACAGTATGTTAAAACGTGCTGGCTTCAATAGGTGAAGCACTGAGGAGGATTCCAGTGCTTTAATACAGTACCTTTTCCCTTCTTTTGGGTGCCTGGAGTGAGCTTGACTTTATACCTTTCAAAAGAAAAGGTTTCTCTCAGTAGCATGTTGGCTCCCCTCAGCTGAACCCTTGCCCCAGGAAGCGCCAGGACTTACTTGTAGCTCGTCATCGCCGTGTAGGGAGCACAGATGGGAACAGCGAAGAGCAGGATATCCTCAGGGTGCGGCTGGCCAGTGAGGGAATCCAGCAGCGCCTCACCCTCCTGCATGGGCAGAGGAGCTTTGCTGTGAGACCAGAAAGCACCTCTCCAGCCCCTCGCTCCCATAATGACAATGAGCAGAGGCTGGAGGATCTCCCCTCCCATCTGAACCACAGCAGCAGCTGCCCTCCTACAGGTACCACATGTCAGTTCTCATGACAGCATTACCAACATGGACTATTAATCACTCACTTTGCTGGCCTTGAGTTACCAAGCCACAATTTATTATTGACCATCTTTGATTACTTTGATACAATAAAATTGTATCATTTGAAATAGGATGGATCTCAGTTTTAAATGATCCAAATAGGACCCCCAAGTGTTGTTACATCTTCACAGTGTCACCAAGAACTTCCCCCTACAGAATCACAGAATGGGTTGGAAAAGACCTTAAAAATCAGCTAGTTTCAACCCCCTACCATGGACAGGGACACCTTCCACTAGACCACATTGCTCAAAGCCCCATCCAACCATTATCTTCCTTCATTAATTAAAGAAACAGACTTATTTCCATCCTTGGGCAACACCCACAGCCTGTAATTATAGAAACATCTGGAGCAATTCTGAATGTAAATCAGCTTCTAAAGAACAATTTGCATGGCACTGCGCTGTGCCATTCTTCAGCCTAGAGCAAATACCTCCTTGAGGCAAAGACAAGGGATAAACTTCAATTTAGCCAGCCCCTAGTTTCTAAAGGGAAGGTACGTGGTAAGCAGGGTAGGAAGACAAAAAAGGTTACTTTTTACTCTTCTTAAATACAAGGAAGCTGGGTTCAGAGCACCGTGGGCATAAAGAGAACTTCAGAGCTGTGCCCCTCTGAAGGGGTCACATGAGCCAGCCCCAGCCTGCACCCTCTGCTCCTGCTCACAGGGAGCTGTGTGGGCAGCGTGTCCCTCCATCTTCCGACAGGAATAAACCCTTTTCAGCACTTATCGGAGCTTGGAAGACAAGCATTTACCTCAGCTCCTGGCTGATCCTGCTCTTGCTCCTCCTGTACAGAAACAAAGGAGATACCAGAGCTGAAATGAGCATGACTGCTTTTCTTGCTCCCAGCCCCTGGAGAACGTGAATTCTTTTATCAGCACTACACAGAAAGCCACATTCTCACTCCAAAGAGAATTTAACATCCTTTAAACGAAAGGCAAGAAGAGCATTTTTATGTTTCTTTTGAAAACCTGATTTGCTTGGCACACACCAAGCTGGGAGGAGAGAGATGGGCTATGATTCAGAGATAGCAACTCAGAAGGACAGGCCTGCAGAGTGCTTGGTTATGTTTCAGCTGCACCAAGGAGGAAGTATTGACTTAACTGGATCCTTGGCAGCCTGGCAAGGCTCAGTCCTCCTCCAAGCCCTCGTTCTGGCTGTGCTGGGAGCACTGCATGCACGGCGCTTTTTTTTTGCTGCTTTTTGAAATGAATGGGCTCCCAGAGTCATGGCACGAGGCACAGTGCTCTTCACAGTGTCCCAAAACCAACAAGAGCTGCTCAGCCTCCCTGCAGAAGAGAGCTACCCAGTGCTAGGAGAGCTGCAGCAGAGAGTGAGAAGGGACAGCTGAGCATGCTGCTGCTCACCTTCTCATCCTGCTGCTCCTCCAAGGTTGGGTCCTGTGACTCGTGCAGCACAACTCCTGCTGGGACTGTCTCCTTGCCCCCTCCAGCACCATGACGAACAGCTTTGGGTTTTTGCTGTTGCTTCTTTGCTGGCTCTTCTTTTGTCTTCCCCTTTTTCCCTTTTTTCCCCTTCTCCTCCTTGTTTGACCCTGCAGACTGTGGTTACACACAGAGGTGGTCAGAGCCAGCAACCACGCCACAGAGGAAGACAGAACTCCTCTCACTCACCCCCAGCAGCTTCATGATGAGTT